TAACAATCATTGCATCCTTACAACCACAATGACTTCTCTTCATTACCTAAGAGATTGAAGAAATAGTAATACACGTAAAAATCAAAACATAGGGTTTTATAATGCTGTTGAATACAATTTGTGTGTCAATAAAGACAAGATTAGCTTTTGACTGATATAGGCTGACGCCAGTTTCTTACTCGTCACGTAAAAAGTAATAGTTTAATGTTGGATGATACAACCAAGTTTAAAAATCTTCTTATTCAATCTCGCTTTTAATTTGTAGTAAATGGTTTTATAGCCTTAGCCAAAGTTTTAATCATGTTTTTTACAAAAGTTATGCCTGATATTCATTTAGTCTTATTTAACTTTTCATCTACTTGTATTTATTTATGACATTTGATTGTTTTTACCAGATCTTTTCTTAAGTCTTTCAAAATTGTATCTAATGTTTTCAATATCTGTTCTGAGATTGAGTCCACTTGATTGTATACAAGGTGCTCAATGAATTATGTTAAGTTGTTTGTGTGATAGACAAAACTACAACAGTCCATTTCTAGGCTAGTCACTGCTGTGCTGCTGTATCCTAATGAGTAACTAATTGTTGTATAAAAGCAATACTCATCTTTAAGTAATGCTTTTATAATGAATGTCAGCATGGCTTTAGTCATCTTCAAAATTTGCAGAGGAGACACCCGCAATCCATTTCCACTAGGCTAAAAAGGCCACAAAAAGTCCACAAGCTGAGATTTGTTTGTTTTACTTTTCTCCAGGTCAGACGCACCCAAGTGTTGATGCCCTGAGTAGGCGCTGTCTCACACCTCTTGAAATATTTATGATCATCTTCAGCCACATTGGCCTGCAACCTCATGCCTATGATCCAATATCAACAATCACATTGATATTGAGCTATAACAGCACACATTGGAGTGTGATCATTCTCAAAAGTATATCTGGAAGTTAATTTTCTTATGCATGTTCTGTCTGCATAACAAAGTAATCCCTGTTCTCCAAAAAAATACATGAAAAATCTCATTGCAGTAGAAAGCAATTTATTGAATTGTAACCCAAATGTCATGCTACATATTGTAATTCCAGATTCTTGCCTTCCCTGATGACTACATGTGTGCGACTTTGAAACAGTGGCCACCTAGGATTAGCTGTAGTGAGATTAAATATCAGGGGATGTAGCTGGATCAAAACACCCCAGAGGGCTGCTCAGATGAAAAAGAAACTTGGTTCTGCAAACAATCCCTTGATCCCACTGCTGTAAACATCATGTAGTGATGTGCTGAGTGAGGGACAGCTGCCAACCTCGGCCTGTGCTTCGAATAGTAACTTGCCAGTCTCCGCTGTCACTGTCAAATCTTTAAGTGTACACAGTGCCGGACCACAGGCAGCTTATCCAGATCCCAACTCCTGACATCAGCCTTAAATATTGACTCAGTTTGACCTTCAAATAGGAATAGACGGATCTTTACAAAGTATGACTTGGTAGTCCAGGGAGGGAGCTGATAAAACCAAGGCTAGAGGGGGAATAAGGTAGATATGATTGAAAAGGTAATCTGTATAAGTTACAACCCAAATCTGATGACAGCACCTGATTCTCAATGGTGATGATGACCTTGTCTTCTGTGCTTTATTCACTCTGCACCTACAAATCTGAAGCGCTGCAGTTTTTTTCTTTGAGCTTGTGCTGTGTTGGCTTTAGAGAGAAGTGGCATTGCTGGAGGGTGGGCCAAAGAAGAGTGAAGCCAAAGCAAGGTGAGGAGGGGGGAATAGTTGGTTACAGAAATGAGGCTGCAACCAGGTCAGCATTTTCTTGTGTTCAGGTCTGAGATTCAGTTTGTGTGTGTGTGTGTGCATTAGAGAGAGAGAGAGAGTTACAGCGGTTTTGGATTGCTGCAGTAAAGTCTGGGTGTAAATCTGTGAGCCCTCACCTTGTCCTCTTCAGTGCTATTGTGATGTCAACATACAGTTTACACTTGGCCTTTTGCTCCTTGTCATCTGAGCTGAGTCAAGTCTTGGCTGTATGGGCTGCCCTCTTTCAAAGTCTCTTTCTCTCCTTCTGTCTTTTGTCGGCTTAGCGGACTCTGAAGACCGACCTCTGGAGCTGGTCAGTCCCAAGGGGGAGAGAGCAACAACAATGGACAACACTGCAGCATGCTGGGCCAATAAGGCGAAAGACCCTGTATCCGACCCAACCAGCTTGAAGTGTGTGTTGTTATTGATGCATGCAGGGGAATGCATGTGCCCGGGCAAAAGAGAAAGGTAAATAGAATTTTTTTTTTTGAAAATATGCAAAATTGTGGTCTAACTGACATTTGTAAAATCCTGGAATCACATCAGCAGTGCGTTTATTCCTCCACTTTCTGTGATAACTTCAAGTAAAGGTCTCCTTGCTGGAGCTGAATAATTAGGAGACTGATTCTTTAGTGATTTTAATCCTCTCATGAGTTCAATGTTTAGAAAAAGATAAAGCCTTTCTTGTATCGGCAGCTTTTTTGCAACAAATACACGTTATGTAATTAAATGATAACTTGAACAGTGAACCTTATTTGATGCAGTTAACTGGAGAATATGGGTCCAATTCAATTTGGAAATTAATGAACCTGTTTAACTTCATCTCAAAGTAAAGAAAAATCTTTTTGTATAATATGAATGCAAATGATGCATATTATATAGAAGTGAATCAAGCTTTGCATTAATCTCACATAAATCTAAGCAGTTTTTTTTTTTTTTTTTTAAGAAAAAGAGAGCAATCACCTCGTTAACGTTTGTGTGGTTCTAGCCAAAAAACAAACTCACTTACAGTAAATCAAATACAAATGTTTAAGTTGACATTTCCTTCTCTGTAGTACAGAAATGTCAAAAAGCCATGAATGCAGATAACTGGTATGTCCTCCTTGCTGACATTCTATTTCTTTGTTTTCAATGGTTTGTCTTATTCTAGGGGGCGCTGCCTTTATTTCTATTTCTTTGGATTGTTTCCCGATTAAAGTTGCATCATCTCTACTGTGGTCATCTATCTGTTCTAAAAGTATTTTTCCTGCAGAGATGTCAACACTGACATCCAGTTAATACCACTAAAAGCTTTGGCTTCATCAGTGAGACATAGCTAGTCTGCCATGTTTAAACTATTCTTTAATAGAGAGGGTTCTTAACTTAAATGAAATGATTTGTATAATGCAGGGGAAACTAACTTAAAAGGCTGTGACTCTTTATACATGAGATCTAGGGAAGGTGGGAGAGGACATCACCACGCTCAGTGAAAAACAGTCGGCAGGTATAGGATCTTTAATGGTGATACCTTGAAAGAAAACCAATAAAAAGAAAGGCAATTTCTGGAAGTAAGAAGGTCCCTTTTTCCATTCAGAAAAAAATAATAATGAAGGCATTCTTGAATTATTACCTCCAAAATGGAAAGTGAATTAAAGAGCTGCCACAGCCTCTACACCACTCTGGGAATGTAGATCTACTTTCACTTAATTTCATCATCCGTCTATGTGGGTCCATTTAAGAATCAAATATTCTCTCATTACTTGTGGGAAGTCCAATGCACACACACACACACAGATACAGACACACACACAATGGGCAACCGTCCCCTTGTTTTCAAGGTTACAATACAGTTCTTCTGTCGCTCACAACACATTTGCATCAAACCAGCCAACAGCTGCCAATTAAGAAACAGCCCCTCAGTTAATACACACACGTCACAGACAATTACAAAGTGTGGTGATCTCTCTCATACAACAAACACACACACACACACACACACACACACACACACACACACAAGGAGGAGGAGGAGGAGGATGTGTGTAGGTTTTCGGGGGGGGGGGGACAGCAAATAACAGCTAATGTTGGAAAAAGGGAGGAACAAGTCGGGCGAGGGGGAACAGTGCAGAGACAAGAGAGAATGTTCTGTGCCAGGAACAAGGCTTTCAGGATTAGTTCTGTCATGCAGTTATACAAGGGGGGAAATAGTGGCTTGCTAGATGAGGCCTGACACACCGAGGAGACGCACAAAATGCAGTGGGACATACACACAGCACAACAGAGCACTCACAGAGCTGAAAGAAGAATGAGCAATGCACACATGCTAACGTATTGTGCATTAAGAATCGCATGCAGATAGTCACTGTAAATAATGTAAAAGATACGAGTATTACTATTTCATCATATACATCCAGGACATTTCTACAGGATGACTTTGCACATGCACACATACACAAATCCATGTCCTCTAAACACATGCACACACTGCACAATGATCATTTCCTTCATGCCGCAGCACAAAATTGAGCTATTCATTAATGTCAGCCATGAAAAAAAAGCATAGTGCAGGCATGGTAATGAAAATTTATTATAGCCCAAAGCCACTAGATGGCAGCCTCTTCCCTTTCATTTCAAATTTAGTTTCCCATTCCTCAGCTGATCGGCTGACTCCCTCTGTGGCATGGAACGCACTACATGCACTTCATATTGTAAGCGAAGATAAACTGCACTTGTTTAACCGTATCGTATTCATTTCAGAAAGAAAGAACTGACTGATCAACAGTTTTTTGCATATTAGAAAGCTGACTGTCTGTTTTGAAATACTTTGACTTCAACCTTGGGGGTGTTAATCAATAGTTGCTATGTTGCCATAAAGATTTGCCACCCACCTATGATGCATTTTTCATACACAACTCTTTGTCTTGCTGTTGGAACGCACTGCTGTGGGCTTCTATCAACAAGAATACATCAATTAGCCAATCAATCAGTTGCACTCAGCTTGTGGGAGGTAGGCTTTATCCTGCAGGCCTTGAGGCGCACAGTCAATACAGTGACCTTCAAGACAATACAAGATTCGCAGAATATAATCAGGCGCGGTGGGCATGGAATAGTCGAAGACATACATTTCTGACGCGTTGGGTTGACATTCTCAGGGTAAGGACAGGGAGAGTTGTTTTACATGTCTGAAGAACGCCAATAACAGACACTTGATCATTTCAACTGTTTATTGAGGGTATAAAGTCAAGATGAAAAGAATGTAGATGAGTGCAGTCAGAATATTATTCAATATGGATTGTAAGGATGATAAAAAGACAAAGTATGAACATCTTTGGGAAAAGAAAATGACTAAAACTTAAAGTGCAATTACCAGTTAACAATCTTTGCAGGTCCATACATTTCTTATTTCTTCAAAGTTAGAGGACATGAGCAGGACATGAAAACACTTTAAATTGTGTACAGGGATAGTCAGATATTACATCATCGAGTCTTGGCTGCAATGATGTGATTAAATGAAGATTGCTCACTGTTCAAACAGGCTTGTTCAGAAGTGTCTGAGGAGGATATTGAGACAGGAAGTTAGTGCCAAAGACCATCATTTCTTCTTGCCAGCACTCTTGGCTTGTTTCTTTGGCTGCTGGGCAGCAGCAGAGGATGGGGTTGTTTTTTCCAGAACTGCCTGCTGGGCCCCCTCCACAGCCTCTTCCTCTTTTTGTTCCTTCTTTAAAGCCGCCATCTGGCGGCTACTGAACGCATCGCAAGAATCAAGGAATTTCTTACAGCGCTGCCACAAGGCTGCCTGGAGACAAAACAGATGGAATTTAGAGAATGATGTCTCACCAGAGGGGGAAGCAGCTGACAAAACATTTTCCTCACTTTTTCTTTTTGATGGTCAGAACTGATACTTATTACATCCTAAATATTCACTTCTAGACGTCACACAACTCTTTTTCCGTCTCCACTCACCTGCATGTTCTCATACATCTCCAGCTGGCGTCTCATGAGCTCCTTCATGTTGAGCTCCTGCAGTCTCCGGTGCTCCAGCACATTGTCTCGGACCAAACGGTACGTCTGAATCTTTTCAAAGCGCTCCCTCTGCTGAAACTCTTCTATCTGTGGATCCATCAGCACTGGCACATCTTTTTGGCATCTACAGATGTAATCAAGGAATTTTATTCAGTGTGAAAGCTAAAGATGTTTTCTGAGAAATACACTGTGTTGCACCTGTTCTTAGTTAGCAGGCAGTGTTTTGAGGTTCAGATATTAAAGAAACTGTAGATGAATAACCTCAAAACATGGCTTGAGTTATCATATTCCTATTCAGGCAATCCTGTGAGATAATACAGCTGACAGTGTTGATACAGGCAGGTCAAATAAACATGGAAATGTGGCTGAAAAATGCAGAGATAGACAGAGGCAGCTACATGGCTTATCTCATTTCCCTAGTCTATAGTATACCCAGATTTATAACTGAGCAGCAGTGTTGACTTTTCAGATTTACAGTTTTTAAAACAAATCATGATCTTTAAACAAACCTGAGTCAGAACTTTTTGAACCCAAAAGATATCACATCATGACACCACAAAGACTTCATCTGCATCAAATAAAAGGGAATGAAAGGCATACCATAACATATAAATGTTTAAGAAGTAAAACAGGCCAAATCTGGAATCTTAACTCAACCACAATTAAGTGATTAGCGATGAAATATGTTAACATAGATATATATCTATCAGTAAATGGCTTGGAAAAGATTGGCTACAGTCTTTTAAATCAAAGTTCAAATGTGCTACATAGAAATTCCCTGACCATGACAAAAACATGTAAGTCTTCTCTTTAGATTAATGTCACAACTTTAAGAACTAAGTACAGCTACTTCAAGTGAGATTGACTTACTACAACCGTGATAAATTTAATCCATCAACAATTTCATTATGTATGAAAGATTGTCCTTTTCCCTTTAATCCAACTCATGCTAATCATGTATTTATTAAAGCTCCTTTGAAGAGTTCATCACTGGATATGAAACAGACTGATCTAAATACTAATGCCTCTATATGACACACAATGGCAAGTAAAACCATCAGCAACAAGACTGATTATTTCTATATCTTAATTTCTAACGCCTGAAACTGTAGCCTCGGGGTCGTTGTCGGGTGAACGTGAAGAAGAAACTGTCTATTTTAATATTTTATACAGCAGATATTTCCAATGAGTACGGTAAAACATTTGACAGACAATAGACAGCAGGATGAGATTTTCTCAGTAAACATTGCCTAAACCATGTACGGGACAAGACCAGCAAAGAGACAAGGGGTATCAGTTCGTCCACAGGGGGCGCCAAAATCAACACAAACTGTGTGTCGAAGTTCCTCACAGGACCTTTAAATCCATGGAGTGCATAGATACAGGGATGTTAACATACATTTTCTTTATACCATTAAATAACTGCTTTATGGCCTCATTGCTTCCACAATATCTTCTCTTTAAGTTTAATGAATAAAAGCTAATTTCATTGAATAGTCCAACCTGTCTGTGTAGGCTATCAGTCATCAAGGGTCATGGAAAATTTGAAACTTGAGTTAAAGGCAACTGGACTTGGTGGTTTCTAGATTTTCTACCAATTCCAGTTGCCTTTAAATCAAGCTTCATAAATAGCTTAACATAAGCTTCCCTGTCCAACACCAAGTATCAACATTTGGGTTGGAAAAATCATCTAAATATGGCAGCACTGCTGAGAAGTCCATATGGATGGGCTGTAATCATAGTATTTTAGGAATTTCTTCGCTAATATCTGTATTATTTGTGTGTCTGTTAAAAAAAAAGAGATCATGTGAGGGGTCAGTTACTGTGTGTGTGTGTGTGTGTGTGTGTGTGTGTGTGTGTGTGTGTGTGTTTGATAAAGGAGAAATGACAGTGTAATATCCCCCTGAGGCTCATACACAGAGGAAGGAATTCAAAGAGAGATTGTAAGTGCTAAATATGGTCGCCTATTTCCTATAAGATGACCTTAATGAAGAGGGGAAGGCTGGTGGAGGTGGTGATGGAGTTCATTTGGTTAATGAACATTGCCCTGGTTTAACCTCTGTCACTGTGGGTGACAGCGTGTGCGCAAATTCTATAAAGTTGTCATGCATGAGTGTGTGTGTGTGTGTGTGTGTGTGTGTGTGTCTTAATCTATGATGTATGGGTGGTGGGCGTTTGAGAGAAAGAGGTGTTCTGCACACTAATCAGACTTCCCTAATGGACTTCTCCACAGGATCTTTCCCTCTTCTCAGATAGCAGGCCACAGTGTTAGCCGCCGCTAGAAGCTGGACACGGACACACACGCACGTGGACACACACGCATGGACACACACGCAGCAAGGAGAGGGTGGAGAGGTGATGGGAGAAGGGGCAAATCTCATTGGAGCGTCGAGCTCATCGGGGCTCTAAAATAGCGTTCTAATTAACAGACCGGAGTATCATCTCATTTATCATGGAGAAGGATGGACAGAAGGAGAGATGGAGTCAGGGACAGAGAAGACAGAGTGTGGGAGAGAAACAAGAGACTCTGAGGGGAGACCTTTCCTTTAGGACACCGACCATGACAAACGATAAAAGTCTGAACTTTATAACTGATTTAATAATGATGATGATGATCTTGGGTGTTTCTATGTTCTATGGCAGGATCAAGCTAACAAAAACAATGCTCAATTCAGGTTTCTTTTTTGACAATATGACAAAACTTAAGAAATATTTTACAGTTCATACAAAAGAATAAGTACAACGACACGTATTTCAAGGTCAAAACTTAAAAAAGGTGTCAGTCTTGTATTATGGCTTTATTTTTTTTTTTTAAAGCTTTAGTTGGGTGCTTTCAGTTTGTGTTGATTTTGCTGCCCCCCTGTGGACACACTGATACCTCTAATCGTATATGTCTTATCTCTGCTGATTTTGTCCTGTACATGGGTAGGCAGCTTTTACATATTTTTAAAAATCTTTTTACTTTTTTCAAATGTTCTCCAGTGAAACTGGATGGCTTCTCTTAATCTCAAAGAAAAGAAACTGAATCACAATTTGTATTTTTGTTTATATGTTTAGAAACATTTGAGCGATTGCCCGATGGGAGAGGTTGCAGCTCTGTGTTGAAAACTCTTTTTAATGTAACCAAGCATGTTGTGTGTCTGCCAGCATATCTGAACCTTACACAGTACACCTGACCTGTCCTCTGGAGTCCATGTGTTGCCCTTTTGTTACATGAAAGGGTCAAGCCTTGTAATATATAACGCTGCTTACAGCACCAATGGGAGCAAAGGTCAGACACACATAAAAATCAAAGGACGCTTTAAGAACCATTCTGAGGAAGATACAGATGCTGGTCTACATGCAGACTGACACACACACACACACACACACACACACACACACACACACACACACACACACACACACACACACACACACACACACACACACACACACACACACACACACACACACACACAAACTAACCATGACATGACACACCATGAACTTAGTACAATAAGGCCTCTCGACTGTTGTAATACAGAAGCATAACCGTCTTGGTTATATATGTTGTATTTTCCTTCTCTAGAATTCTTCTGTTGGCTGAACTGACATCTGTTACAGACAGATATAAAACCAGCCACAGTGTGACAAGAGAATGAAACTTCAACGTCTAATTAATGGCACTATGGTGTCAAATATATGTCAGATCATCTTTCTAACTTTGCAACCATACTTTGATAGTGAGCCATGAAATGGATTGAAAAAAAGGGAAAAAAGGGAAAAACAGGCAAAGTGTAAAGCTGGTTTGAGTACCTGATGAAGGGAGTGAAGTCCATGGGAGGAAGGGAGCTGAAAGTATTGGTCAAGTCCAGATCAGACTGAGTGAGAGAGGCAGCTGTAAAAGAAGAAACAAACGAAAAGACCTCATTACCATACTGTGACAACTAATGGGAGAAAGGAAGGACCCAAATACTAATGTGTGTGCATCCAGAGTGTTGTAACAAGACCTCTGATTTCTGCATCATCCACGGGAGTTTCGTTGTTTGCTTGCGGTTTGTTAAGAAACGTGAGACGAGACTTTAAAGCCTAAAAAGACAGAAAAACATTGAGTGAAAGTTTGAGAGGACAAAATCAAAACAGACTTATTGATAGAGATATTTCTACAGGAGATACACATCAACAGGTAAGGCTAGATTTAAAGGAATACAGGTGTACACTACATATTTCAAATCACAACCTGTGTCTTACCTTGGCACAACGGCCAGGTTCGGCCATCTCCCAGGCTTTTTTAATGGCTTTCATCTCCTCTAGTCTCTCTGTGTCCTTCGTCACCTTGATGCTCTCTGCTTTGTTTTTGTCACTGACCACACGCAGCGTCCAGTTCGCCTTTGTCAAGTCAAGGCTCTGCGCATATCACAAACCACATGCACACACAATAACCACAAAGGCTAAAGAGGGTACTGAATGGTAACCACACAGACATCCCAGCTGAAGGTCACAGAACGACAATACATCACAAGTCTCTTTCAGTGAAACTCAGACAGTCTGGGACACAGCCAGTCAGCCATTCACTCAGGGTGTTATGTCCTCTTTTGGCTGTCTAGTCATCACTCATTAATAATTATGAATCGCTCTCAGTTCATTTATTCAGAGATCATTATGTCCTTTCTGCTGAGAGTAAATATTGAAAATTGAAATTTTGCAGACAGAAACCAGCCTTCTGAAAATCTGCCCTGTAATGCAGAGGAGAATAAAATACACTTTTTTATGTGGCTGATTTATCAAGAAGCTGTGTTTCAGATGACTAGACCAAGACCCTGCTACTGCAGACCACAAGATTCCTGTTTGAATAGGTGCAGGTCATCCAGCCTGTTGTGGGATTTAATTAATGCCAAGTTTTCTCTTTGTTAGAACAGCAGAGTCAACTTCATATGCAAATGATAACCTGCTGATAAAACAAATTGCAATTACGATAAAAAAAAGAGATGTCAGATAAGAGTTCAACCACAACACGCTCATTATGTGAGGTTTCGGATGAGAGTCTGTGAAGAGCAGTTGAGTGTGTACTCCACTGAAGTGCCTCCACATCCTCCACTTTTTAGACGTCATTATTACTGCTGCTGGTCATTCTGATGAGTTTTGACCACACCTCCTTGTCTTCCAAGTGTAACACTTGACCTTAATAACACTCATTTACGCACAACAGTTTTCATATCTACCTCTGTATTATATTTGGCTTTTGCAATCAAATGAGAACATCTAATGCAATAAAAGCCAACGGATCCAAGTTGAACTTTAAAGAAACACAATTTGCAAACATATCGAACAGCTGATCACACAAATATTTTCTGCATAGTGACTGACAGTCCCTCAACAGCTCTTTCAGTCTATAGATATAAGTACATAATATTGGTCCAAGTTTGCAGATCACAGCTTTATGGTATTTTGTTACCATTACAGCATCCTGCCGGGAGCCAGATTTTGAGACGCCAGCTGGCTTCCCTTTCTCCTTGTCACCTTCTCCTTTGCGGTTGGCTTTGGGTGTATTGGATTTGTGCCTGTCATGGACAGGGGTGTCAGTGGTGGACGTGTGCTTCAAGTCCTCAAGCCTGAATCCTGCATTTTATAAACAGAGATAAGGGAGATTCAGTTTTGTTATACAAAAACTACAGAGTTTTTAAATGTACAATGGTGTATATAATGTAATGTATTTGTCATCTTCAGTTCTGTAGAGTTAAATATTTGTATGATACTGAGTGCTGTTTAATTTCATTGTAGATGTAAAGTCTCAACAAAGGACAAGAGTTAAAAATTGGCAAAAAGCTATCCGTGCAAAAAATCTGATTCATGCTCTGGAGCTATGTTAAATTCAATTACATCCTTATCCAATAAAATAAATTCAATTCAACTCAACTGTCAGCCTCTGAAGTGATAATGGCTTTGACATTTAAATGTATCATGTTTAATATTCTGAAGATTTAACACACACTGTGTCCTTTGTCATTACAAGGAACCTCAGCTGTTCATGATTACAGTTTTTCTGAAGTGGGACTCTAACAAAAAAAAAAAAAGTGGGGAAAATGCTGCACGTGTTGTGTGGTTTCATGTGTGCTAGATGGCACTGTTGCACTTTAAAGACAGAGTGAACACAAGCCTCAGCTTAGATGAAGCGTTTACGATGAGGCTCACTCCTCTGACACAGCGAGGAATAATAATCCATCATTTAGCTGACACCCTGCCATTCTGTCTGAACGGCTTTGATGCATGCTCATCGAGTTAGTCTTATCTCGAGTCACACAGAAATGTTCATGTTCAAATTGGATCTGAATATCAATCTCTGTCGTGTAATTTCAGGCTGATACAAGTCTTGAAAACTGAAATGGCTGTTTATGGCTAAACAAGATCTATTCACTGAAAAGCCGAAAATAATCATGTTTGGATACTAAAAATGTTTTCTGGTAGTAAAAAAGCAGAAATGAAATGTCAGCGAGGTGTGGACGGAGAAAACTAATGCTGCATGTACAACACACTGCTTACATCTGAATGCTTTTACAGTATACATGGAGGTATACAGCAGTGTAAGAGTGCATGCATTTAACATGCACAGTGCAGTATTTTGACTGCAGCTTGTTAAACAGCTTGTTAAGGAGATTTCAAAGCTTGGCGTTGCATGTACTGCAGTGCACGTGTAGCATGTAGGGAGCATGATCAAGGCCGCGGCCTCACCGCTGAGACAGAGCTGAACTGGGTGAAATTAATTTGCTTTCCTGCTGAGATATTTCCCAGGGCACCAGGGGGCAAGAGCCAACTTCATTTGACTTCCCATTGACCCACTTACACAAGCTTATTGGAAAATCCACCAGAGGTTTGTGTGGACATTGGCCGACACATACTCACATGGACAAACGAGAGCAAGAAAAGCTTAGCGTGCTCACATATATCTAAGAACAGAGCACACATGCTAATGATGACATGAACACACGGCACGTTAAAGCAATAAAGAATGATGACTTTTTATCTCATACAGAACTATTACTGTCACTTATACAGGGCTGCCTGTCTGTAAACTGAAAACATCTATCTGTATATAGAGCTTGTTTATTTTATGCCTCCCACTTTGAGACACACATATCCACCTCAGATTTCATTCCATGCAAACTGAATGGGTGAGCACAGACACTATTGTCAGGTGCAACAGATAGAGAAGAATAATGATTCACTGACAAGCAGGCTGCCCTTTATCTTTCAGCAATCATGCAAATTGTCACCCATGCAGCACCTCTTTCACATCAACATTCATCCGTGCCGCAATTAATTGGTCCCCCTCAGAATTTTTAAAAAGCTGCTATAAATTTCAAAGCCCTGACTTTACTATCAATCCAATTTGTGCGACATGATTAAAGGCGGAGGAGCAGAGTTGGTGGCAGAGGACAGGATTATTGCCTCAGCCAACGACCAGTGGGCACAAGAAATCACACTCTGATCTGCTAAAGCAGCTGTATTCATTTGGCTTTCATTAGAGCTTGTGATTAACAGGACTCTGGCTAGCGGAGGCAAAGAACAAACACCGCCTGCCTTGGCCCCCTGACACTGCTGTATCTGAGTATCTGCCACATTTCACACCAAACGCAAAGAAAATATGCTGTGCACATACAAACAGGGAGGAATGATCAGAAATCCATTCAGGAGCAAGAAAAGGTAAAAGTGATGTTTTAAATTAAAATGTTTCAATAACCAGTGAGGTATATCTGCTGAGATGGTAACCTTATGAAGTGCTTATAGGGATTTTTATTTTGAAGTAGTATAAAGCTTCATATTGCTAAATCATCAAAAATACTTGCTTACTTTCAGGAGGAGCACATTTCAAAATTTACTAATTATTTATTTTTCCTGACGGGTACTGAGTTGAGCTGACAGGTTAATCTAGAAATGAAGTTTGTCTTAAGTATGTACCTCTCATTTCTTTCTTCTCCATGTCTATGAGTGACTGGACAAACTCCATTTGGGATTCATCCAAATCCCAGCTCTTATAAAGCACCTCTGCTTGCACCACGTACTTGTGAACCTGTGAAAAAGACAAGAAGAGACAAAAGCCATATTTCAGTTCAAACTAGACTTGAGCGACACCATTACACAGAGAAAGCATCAAGAATCTCGATTAAAACAGAAATAAATGCAAAGCCAAGAAGAGATGAATGCTGATCAGATGTATTTAACATAGACTAAGCTGTGTTATTCATGCAGATTATTCAGAGACAGACACAGAGGTCTTAAAGAAGAAACTGGATGTTTTTGTTTTTCACAGTCTTTGACAGAAGCACATGCTGGGCACAAAGAGACAGAGGAGACCAAGGCCATGTAAATCAAGATTTTATAATGAGTGGTCACTTCCGTATCCATCACACTGAACAGAGGAGATTTCAACAAAATCCCAGGCTCAGAATCAAACTATTAGAGCAAGATATTCCCATCGCTGCACATACGATTACACAATAAGATTTGTGAGTGCCATCAGCCTGTGTGTTGTCATGCCGGTTGCCTCAAAATATAGATCACACTACAGGAGCCTTGAGCATTTACGCACAATTACTGAGCATCTTTATCTCCCTGTGCCGTAAACACAACGCTTTAATCGTTGACCCTTAGCTCCAAGTCTTAATCAATAGTCTCACTCCTGATCAACAGCTGTTTATTCTGACTGCTGCTGATCTGAAGGATGCACTACGAAGCCAGAATAATGGCTAAGTGAGGAATGTTTATCTTAATGCTTGAGACCTGAGTGCCACAAAACTGGCTTTCTTTTAACAGATAGATTAACATTGAATTGTTGATTTCATTTCGCAGGGACAAGTCCTAACGATAACGTCTACCACAACTACTGTGTCAAAAAAGAGATACAGCAATTCAAGTGCAAAATATGATACAATGTCTGAAGGATTTTGAGATGACTTGTGTGAGGTGTTTGGAGGTGTGTCGATGGATCCAGAGATGGATAGATATACTGTACAGAATATCACCTTTGTAAATGAAGCTGCACATCTAACATTTGGATTAACATTGCTTTTGGGCAGTTGTTTAGCTCAGTTAGAAGAAGAGGCATACCCATTTAGAAACTATAGTCCTCAAAGCATTAGCCGCAGGTTCACCTCCTGGTATCAGCTCTTTGATGCATGTCTTTCCCTCTATCTACTCCCAACATTTCTAGTTTTCAGGTGTCCTATCGATAAAAGCAATAGTAACATAAATGGACGGAGAGTATTCTTCCTCCTATGACGTTCACTGTGAGTGATTAAGATTCTCAGGTTAGAGAAAAAAAGTCCTAAATGATCAACACGTTCTATCAGGAGAGATATCTGTGCTCCCTTAGCTTGTCCTGCTTTCAAAAAAAGGATCCTGCTGTTGCAAAGCGCAGCTAATTGTGGTGAATTGCCATGTGAGCACCTGTTGGCACATGCTCTGAGAAGAAGGCATTTAACCGAGAACGATGGGGAGAAACTGTTATTCTGATACTTCATGATCACTACGAGAGTCAAAGGAGGTTTTTGAAGAACTTGTCACCAGTCTCCTTATGTTTGTAATACAACATTAACAAAGCCTTGCAGTCACAGCAGCACAAACTTTAGGAATCGCATCAAGGTGACCTACATGCATTCTGTTGGAGAGTAACACTTTAAACACATGTCAGGTAACTTTGTGAGCTTCATGCTTCAAACAAAGATCAACAGCAGTAAATATCGGATTAAGTGTCCTGATTTATTCTGGTGCTTTGTGTGCCTTTATTTAAGTCAGGACAGTGGGTAGAGTCGGAAAATCAGGGAGAGAGAGAGAGAGAGAGAGCGGAAAAATTAGCTAACAGGTTCTAACCGCTTTGAGCACTGCAACCTCTGTACGTAGGGCGCTCAAAAACTAACCATCCAGCCACCCGGGGCCCCAGCTGTCTGTATATCTGAGGTGTGAAAATATACAAAGAGGAGATTTAAAATACTGTTTGTTCTCCAGATGTATCACTGACAGTCACTACAGCAAAACAAATAGACCTCAGGAGCTTTTCACAGGTTTATGGACCCATGCACACAGGCAATTGCTGTGTCTGTGTGTGTGTATCTGACTATGTAAGTACACACTTATAGCACCTACTATACACTTTGGGAATCACCAAACTGGTGTGTTAAATAGAGGGGGGTCTGCAGACAATCAAGAGACTCATAAATCATGCACAAATCCCTGCTCCCTGACAAGCACTGATAAGTCAGACAGTAACAAAAAAAAAAAAAAAAACAGCCAACCAGTTTCTGCTGCTCTTCTCTTGTGATTTTTGTCAGTGTGAGAGTGTGTGTGGGTGTGTGTAAGTTTGTGTGTGTGTGTGTGTGTGTGTGTGTGTGTGTGTGTGTGTGTGTGTGTGTGTGTGTTTGTGTGTGTGTGTGTGTGTGTGTGTTTGTGTGCATTCCTGAGAGTAAGGCGTAATGTGTATCTGGCAGTGAAAAATTGATATCAACACAGGCAGAAAGCAAGTGGGTGAGAAAGACAGAGAGGAAAAGTGAGATGCGCCCTTGTGTGTGTGCACAAGTGAGACCAGTGAAGTGTTTGAGGAACAGCAGATACCACGCAGGCAGCTGTCACTGATACCGTCGTCTCCGTGGGAGGTTGAGGCTGGTCCAACGACGAGTTTGATCTCCCAGCTGTGTTGTCCTGTCGGTTTCTGTGCTGGAAAGTGTCTGCCACCTTCACTCCCTTGTCCTGGGAAGAGGATCCCTTCTTCTCGTCGTTGCAACTGTCCGCTTGAAGATAAGAAGCAAGTGGATATCTTAGAAAAGACAAGAGTGGCCGGCATTTTGAACTAAGTGTTGGAAGCAACGACTGAACAAGTGTTTGAGAGGCGAGCTTTTGAAGAGCTCTTGTGTGAAGTGCCTCTTCTATCTGCTTGTTTTTTGTCGCTCTTGATTGTGTCTGCATAGCTAAAAATTCTCGTACAGCAGTTCAGGGGTCAGTTTGACTAAAACTCAAGCAAAACTTTTAGAAAACTATTTCTTTATAACCATTTGTGAGTGATATTCCTATGACTTGAGACAATAGTGCTTTTTGCAACAATGACTTTTGAAATCTTGGGCATCTAAACAGCAATAAACGATCACAGACTTCATTAGCATATTGCTTTTAAAAAGGACTCCATGCAATGCAGAAATTGAGCTGAATCCTTCTTGTGATCGAGTCACAGAGAAAAGAGCACCACGACCTTATGACTGTGACATTATATATTTTATTGAAAAAGCTATCTAAACAATTTTATTTTGGGGCTTTTTGTGCCTTTATTTGAGAGACAGGATAGCGGTTAGAGTGGAGAGAGAATAGGGAATGACATACGGGAAAAAAGCCACAGGTCAGATTCAAACAGGACCGCCCGCTTCGAGGACTGCAACCTCTGCACATGGGGTGTAGAAACTAACCACTCAGCCACCGGGGCCCAGCTGTCTGTATATTTGAGGTGTGAAAATGTACAAAGAGGAGATTTAAAATACTGGTTGTCACTACAGCAGTCACTACAGCAGAGCAAATAGAGCTCAGGAGATTTTCACAGGTTTATGGACCTATGCACACAGGCAATTGCTGTGTCTTGACTAGTCCATCTTGTTACCAGATCGTTATTATTTTTCAAGTCATGACAGAAGGAATAACGGTAGTGAGAGAACAGGATGGCTGAGGGAGATTAAACAGAAAATGTGAAAAGGAAGGATGTGAAAAGTTCTTGTAAATGTTAATAAACACCATCTTTGTGTCAAGCTATCTGTTCTTACAGAAAACAAAAGTGTTTGACATCATTTGCATGATTTTAAAGTAAGCTGAGAGTAATTGAAGACACATGGCAATTCAAAATATTTGGGGGAAAAAGTGAAAAACAACAATCTAAAGTGTGAGAAGTGTCCTGTTGCCTTTAGTGCACTAAAGGTAAATATAACTACAGTACTTGTAAAGTTCTACCGTCAGTCCTCACCAATCCCTCTCATACAATATGTCCCCTAAATCACCACTGTAAGGGAAACAGCTGCAGACAGGGGCCCTGCTGTTTTTAATTCTGCTATACGGGAGGAGAAATTAACCAGAATTTAAACTGAGAAGTACCATGAAAGTATATTCAATAATGGTGAAAGCTTTACATTGTTTTAAACATTCACTATTAAATATTAACTGTTAATTGATATAATCCAGATTATAACAGATGTAATCAAATGCTTTAGATAAATACTGTAACTTCCTAACACACAGACAGACAGGAGACAGATCGACAAATGTTCAATCATAATCTAGAAGGCTTTCATTTATCAGTAACTTTATGACAGAACCTGAGAGTTCACCTTCGTTTGCCAGGAAGTTGAAAACAGGAATAACCACGTGGCCCCTCCCAGTGTTGCCGATCATCTCCTTCTCCTGGTCCAGAACGGACAGACGGATCAAAACATCCGGCTTGGAAGTCTGAAACTGAATCGTTCCTAAAACATCTGCCGTCACATCCACAAGGTATCTGTGCAGAAGTTTTCAAAATGGTTGTGTGTATTAATCCCTCAGAGCATCTGCAATGTTGTCCTGTGTTAGAAAACAGGGCTTTCTGGGATGTTATCTTTATGTGCTGTTGGATTGTTATCAAAACTGGTTTACAATCATCACACATCTCAGATTCAGACTGTAAACTATAGTCCAAATTGGATTTTGCCGCTATTGGTGAGCATTTTATATATGACACACCCTCTTCAACAACGACAAGTTTTAATCAAACAACAATGATGGAGTCATCTTTTGATAGAAATTCACTTACCGACATATGAGATTTTTGTCATTGGGAATGTAATAATCCCTGAATTCCTTCACTGAAAATGTGTTGAGGGGCGTCTCATGGGACATTTTTGGCAGAGTCCCATTGAGCCAATCAGGCACATCCTCCACTTGGCACCAGCCGGGAGTGACTCAGGTATGATGGCCTCTGCTACAAATGTATAACCAAGCTGCAACGCATGGAAAGAAATGATATAATGATACCAAAATATCATTATTGTTTTAAAAGGGACTGTGTAAGACAGACTTAGATAAATAAATCAACAAAACAGGTCGCCCACATTATTTCACCAGCCATCCACAAGACTGTTCCCAGGTGTGGGAAGTATGCTTAAAGTAAAGTGTTCCATCATGGTAATAAGAAAACTGGGATCAGACTATATTAGAAATGTACTCAAAATCTATGTGGAGTACACAAAGGGTTAAAGTACAAAGATTTCGAGCACCAACAGACCTTGTTTGGTTTATAGACCTGAACTGCTACTTTGTTGAAAACCATGTCCAGCTCCTCTCCTGTGTCGTTATTTATGACGATCATCAGACTGTTAGGGATCGGCGAGTAGACCTTTGGTACCAACAACATCTCCTCAGAGACCAGGAACACCTCCCTTCATAAATAAAAACAACAAAGTACACAACAAAATATCTTATTCCAAGGTCTGACTTACTGTCAAATAGATTTCCTCGATTTCTGATTAAATTATGAAATGATCTGTTGAGCAATTTCCGCCTGGATTCATACTGTAGGGGTTGTAAGATTTTTATAGTGTTTTCTAACCTGAAGACTAAGACCCAGGAGTTTGCTGTGTCTTGAAGGGAGACGGAGTAATCAGTGAAGGTGATTCTGGTCCATTCATCCTGCTGACAGGGGTAGAGCTCTGCTGTCCTCTCAGAATGTTCAATGATAAACCTCAAAACACAAAGTGGGAGAGCACTTTTAGAAACGTTTCTTGTTTGAATTGAAGAATTAAATAACAAAACCAATTAATCTTCAACATCTTTATCGAAGCATAACTGAGGTGAAGGATTGTGAATTAAACCCAGTTTAAAAATGACAAATGCACCTAAAATCTCAGTGTGAACTTTGGACGAAAGTGGATGTTTCTGTCAGTGAAAAAAACAACAACTAATGCTCAGAGGGCCACTAAAACAAACCCCCCTATTCCACCATCCATACACACAGTGACCAAGCTCTCACTGCTCATGCTCACACATACTTCCTCAGGCAGCGGGTCATTCGGCAGACGCTGCTAGTCGATTGGAACAGGGAGAGGATAAACAGCAGATGGTACCACTGGGAAAAGATGGAACACAATGTGGAAAATGCTCCCTGCCTGGCCACAACAGGCCACCGCAAACAGGAGAGGGAGCAGATTCTGGGCGGGCAGTGCAACACGGAGACCAAACACCATACGAGATATATATATATATATATAAAATATTGGCACAGGACTGTATTGGGAGCCCTCATGTTCTCTGGGATTGATGACGTATATGATATATGATACATCTGCTTGACTAGCAAGGTGTGATGTTTTGTGTATGTGTACATATTACATACATACATGAACATGTGCACACATTCTTTATGAGAAGTCGGTCATTTTGTGTATTTTTTTTATTTTTCATGTACCTTAGCAAGAAGGCAGCGTATTTTTCTGCATCCGACTCAACCTTTGACCACATGTCTAAAAGAATCTGAGATGCTTGGAGGTTCTTCTTTGTGCCTAAATGACATAAGGACACACACATCCTCACATTTAAACACACCTAAATAGACACCAATAAAGAACAAGAGATAAACCATAAAAACACAACACAAACACTGACATTTTAAAGTGCAATTCTTGCCTTATTCAGTGATAGAAGTACATTATTTAAATATCACACTTATCTTGACAGACAGGTAACCACTGTGACAGAACAGAACCTTTGGTAAAATATGTCATACGATGTGTTCATGAGTAAGTGTGTGATGTGTTTGCTTTTGCACACGTTGGAGAAATGCTCAAAGAGACAGTTGTGTGTGAAAGATATTTGAATACGTGTCCTCCTGCTGCCTCTACTTCCCTGTGCTCTGCTCCTTCTTTTCAAATAGCCACTTTTCTTAAACTGATGCAGCTATTACAGTGGGCCAAGGCTGCCTCTATTGAAAGATGGAGACCTCCTTATCCTCACCTTTACAACCACAGAGAGGCAACAGACAGAAAAGCAGGCAGACAGGAGAATCAAAGAGTTGAGGGACTTGTGGCATTTGGGGTTGTTTGAGATAAACAGATATACCAGGGAATATAACTCTGAGATCAGAAAAGGCCAGCTTTTTAAGCTTCCTTTAAATGAAAAGCTTTTCAAAGCGCAGTTAGACAGGCAGCGTTTTTTAAACTATGATTGGTGTTTTGCCGTTTACTTTAAGTGCCAGTCTGAAAGCTGCACTTTATGCTTTGACAAGTGAATGAATCAAATCTGAGATGACTTAACCATGACATGTCCCATTTCAGGGACATCAAGCTTTTTAGCCTTTGTGTTCATGTTTATGGCACATAATCGACAGCAATATTTTTTGCATTGGTGGCAAATAGTTCCATAATGATGTTGATTTCTTTTGGATGTGTGGTGTGCTTAAACCACTTTTAAAGCCACGGAACACGAGGTAAAATCCCTTCTTTGCTATGAATGCCACCGATTTCTGAAAGGCTGCTTTAATGAAGCTCCTCATACCCCCATATGTTTAAAGGATTGAAATGTTGACAGTTTCATGCTCATCACAACTCAAATAGACTCAGTAAGCTTCAGGTTTTGGGGAATGAAGAGAATGTTGTGTCACCTCGAGTGTTTCTTTAAACAGTGGTGCACCATAGTAAGATAATTAGCGCAAACTCTTAAAGGCAGAATGTGCGACATTTTACACATAAATACAGAAGAAATTAAGTGTAAAAGTCTCTCTGAGTCATGGCTGTCTACAATGAGTGAGAAGTGTGAGTCTCGCCTGCTGTACTTTTGTCTGGCTGTCGTTACATCATGTTTACATGGATGGGACGGCCTTGGGTATAAAGCTGTTAGTCAAGGAAAGGAAGAAGAATAACTATTCACTGCTTATTTCGATGCCACATAAGTGGCAACTGATCGTCTCAGACATTGGGTTGGTTTAAAGGATACTGCACTTAGCTGGTTTTACTCTTATCTTTTAGAAAGAACCTTCGCGGTCACCATCGGTAACTACTCCTCCTCTACCTCTAACATTACCTGTGGTGTACCGCAAGGTTCGGTTTTAGGTCCCATTTTATTCTCCATTTATATGCTGCCTCTTGGCCAAATAATTGAACGCCACAATGTCTCCTTTCACTGCTACGCAGACGACACACAGATATACCTTCCTTTGAGACCTGAGGACCCTAGGAGCCTAGCTGCTGTCAGAAACTGCCTAAGCGATATCAACTGCTGGATGGCGCAAAACTTTCTCCAACTGAACAATTCTAAATCTGAAATCATAGTATTCAACCCGCCAAACACCACTCATATCTCAAAGAGCAGCCTCGGTCCCTTATTCACCAATTCACAGGCAATGGCAGCTGGAGCAAAGGATAATTTTGTCCGCCGCTTGTGCTTAAATGTGCTTAATTATGGTGCATTCAAATTGATAACTCCTTTGTGCGAATGCGAGGGATTGGAGGTGTGTTGCTGGAGGAGAGTGACCCTGTTTTGGTTTAATGCTGGTGCTCAAGGGCGACATCTACTGGAACAAAAAGTTACACATTCTTCCTTTAAGAAAATTGGATGTTAAAATGATTCATTTGAAACTGAGATAAATTGCCTGCGACCTGCACAAGAGCTAGTTTAATAAATAATTCTTCCAAAGCAGCACTGATAAATGTACAAAGGAAAAGCTGCTCAGCTCTGTCTGCCTCGTCACCTTGTGTCACTTTGGAGAGGTTTGGCTGATAGATGCTAGAATACTGTTTGCATGTGTGTGTGTGTGTGTGTGTGTGTGTGTGTGTGTGTGTGTGTGTATGTTTGTTTCCTACGTATGTGTATGTCCTCCGTGGCCACTGCTCATCTGTCAGGGTGTATTAGTAAGAGTGGCATCTCATCAATACATTTTTGTGCCTCTGCTCGAGGGCTCAATATACATGCCAACAGGCTAAATCAAACAGTAAATGGAAGGAGAAGAAAGTGTTTTGTGTGTGCATGTGTGTGTATTCAGACACAGACTAATAATCTTCAAATGAAGCTCAGGTATTCTGTTGTTATAGTTCTTATTATTTTCCCCACACATTGTGCCTTTAGCCTTACCCTCTCTGGAGATGTCTTTGTCAAACATTCAAACATTGTCTTTGCTTTTTTAAGTTGAAAGACAAAGACAATGTTTGGTGGGGGGGTAATGTTACCTGGTTTTGAGGCATTCAGGACCTCTCTCACCAAGTGCCCTTTGAATCCAGCCTGCAGAGTGATGACTGCCTTCACCTCCCTGTCTGTTGGCTCTCTTTCTCTCCAGCCTTCTGGAGGCTCTGCATCTGCTTAACAATTAAAAACTGCAAGTTAATTTTCATACGCTAATAGGTACATATTTGGATATTAGCAATGGAGAATGACAATGAGGTGCTATAACAAACATCAATTAGGCATGTTTGATTCCTTGTGAAACTGTGTTTGAGCTGAGACATTGGCACTTACATGAAGTAGAGTGTTCTTTGGGGACAGTGGTGAACACTAAAGGGTCAGCTGTGAGGGCCACTGAAGCCAAGTGCTCCTCTGTTGTCAGCTTTCTTCCCATAGCCTCACACAGCATGTGGTAAACTGCAGAGTTAAACACCTTAAGACACACACACACACACACAAGCCATACATACAGTTAAGTGATATCATAAGTAAGTCATACAGTTAATAAAAAAGATACTAATGACACATCCGAACTTGAAAGCAAAGTTAGACTTTTTATCATGTCAATTATCCCTCATTCACCATGGCCACTTTCCAAAAATCGAAAGATGACCCAAATATTACATTTTCAAACTCATCAGAAATATGGTGTAAAACATTCCAAACACAATGCTTTCTGAAAAATGTAAGCTCCTATGAGGACTTTAGAGCTGGTTATGAAATACACTAATAGAGAAGATCGATGCCTCTTTATGACCTTAAAAGCAAACAAGACCATCAACATGAAAACGGAGAATTCTTAGATGCAAAGTGAGTGATATATTTGACTGTTAAAAGAAAAGCAGGATGAGATACTGTATACTGTAAAAAAAAAAAGATTTCACATGTACAGACCAAAAAAGATTAGAGGTACTGCTTTGTCCACAGGGGATGCCAGAATCAATACAAACGGAAAGTTCTTCACAGCAGCTTTCAACTAGGAGCCTTGTGAAATAAGTATCAGTCCAGTACATTTTTTGGCACCGAGCAGAGTTGAATTATTTTTCAAGGATTCAGACAACTGTATCTGCTTTTCACTGCAGAGCCTAATTAACTCAAATAAATGCTTTGCAGTCAGGTGCACTACTTAATGAAAGTCAGTCTACCTCTAAGAACAGCCTAAAAGAAGGAGGAGCTTTTCAAATTGTCAACATCATCATATAACCAGAGGTAAACAAGCTACCTTTCGGTGTTTTGCTTGGTTTGTGTCCATGTTTCGGGGGCGGTGAGCCTCATCCAGGGCTAGTCGAGCGGCTGGCTGGTCCTGCTCATGGCTGAAGGAAGCCACCACTCTGCACAGAGCCCTGAAGATGCAAGAGGCCTGCTCAGTGAAACGAGAGCTTTCCTGTTAAAGACAGAAATACAGACTGGGAGTAATTGAATTTAGTTGAATAGTGATAAATTAAACAGAAAAAAGGTTAAATAAAATAGAAGAGCAGAACACCCACACATTGGGACTGTGTGGAAAATTGCTTCGAGCAGGTGAAATGTGGATGGCAGACAAGATCAAAACATTGCTTCTTTGTTTTTCTCACATGCATTAGACTTTCAATACACCCATGTGTCTGAAATTATTTTTGTTTCAGAAAGATGGTATTTTCAGCAACAGAAACATGAGGCTAGAATCTAGGAAAGCAGAGGGAAAGAATTACTGACATGGTGTGATTTATTAAACTGAGACAAGCCTTTTCCAAAAATGTTACAGCCAGGATATTGCTACAAAGGCAATTTCCTTCTCTCCTCTCTGTATATTCAACCAAGCTCTGTGTTGTACTTTTTAAAACTTCACAACTTAGGATGCACGGGTTGCACTCTCCATTTGTTTGTCTGTGTGTGTGTGTGTGTGTGTGTGTGTGTGTGTGTGTGCAGTCTTGGGGTGCCTTGACAATGAAATTCACCGCTCTGAGCGGTTTCTTGCTCCTTTGTCTAGTCACGGTATTTCTCACTCACTACATGTCCTTCTCAGAGCCTCTTGGTAAGTGTTTGTTGTGGGTAATTTTAGCTTTCTGGTGAGAAAATGATCTGGAGGCTGAGAATAGTATTAAAGCAATATGCATATGTTGTTTGAACTGTCTTTTATCAAATGATGAGGGCAGTCATGATGCTAATTTGAAGGGCTATATATACTGTATATATATTGCTTTAATGACATGCTTTGTTTCCTTACTATACCTCACTCCAGCTGTAGTCAGAAAGGTCATCCACATATAAAAGATAACTATATGACCATGACTGTAAACTGTAAACTGTAAACTAAGGCCCTCTGTCACCTTAGTAAGCTGTGCCATGACGGTTTCTTCATCCCCAAAGATAAAAGGTGATTTGCTGCACAGGTGAATGTGGTAACCCAGTGCTGCCTTCGTATGGAAAGACAACACATGGCGCCTGGAGGAGGGAGAAAGACTTGTGAATATTATTTAAAAACAGGACCACAAAGTCCAGACTCACTCTACCTAATAAAACAGGGGTCATCAATCTTAAATACTTAGGATCATAGCTACACAGTATGTGCTGCCCCTTAGTCAATCAAAGAGGGATGGTTTCAATTGAGACGACTGTACAATTAGACAGAAAATGTGAACAACTAGCAACAGTCCATGCATTCCACTAAATTCCCTTTCAAGTCTTAATAATGGAACTATGTTTCTGTCACAAGGGCAGCAGCCTAATGTCCTGTCTGCTGAGTGCCAGGCTGAGTTCACAGGGCCTTGTCGGGCATGAGAGAAAGAAACCCCACTTCCATGGCCCCATTAGCTTTACATAATTCAACAATCCAAGCCTAACTAGATGGATGAGCATCAGGCAAGTGCTGCAGGAGAAGAGGGCATTCTACAAAAGGGAAATGGAAGGGAGAGGGCGAGAGAGAGAAAAAAAAAAGGAGAGAGTAAGGAGGAGAAGAAAGGGAATAAAAGGCAAATGTAGGGTGAGAGGAAAAGCAAGAGACTTGTACAAAGGGAGATGGATGATGACATCACTTAATAGAATAACACAGGTTAGTATGTTCCAATAAAGTGAAAGAAGAAAGCACACTGGGTCAGCGAAGAGATTAAAGGAGATCGTGTAACACCTTCTGATGGGATGACCTTAACAAACAGAGAGAAAAAGAGAGGGAGTGCATTCAAAAATGGTCGCTGCTGAGAAGCATGGACACATTGTCTCATCTCTCTTAGTGACAGTGTGCTATGGGGCATGTGGGCATGATAAGTTGAGTGCTATGTGTGTGATTATGGCTCAGTGGTAATTGCACTGCTGCACACCTGCACATGACCCCAGAAAACTAGGCCCTCTGATTCTAGGCCAAGCAGCACCCATTAATAGAGACTAGGACAGAGGCTTTTTTGCTGCTTTCCGGAGCATCCGAGGCTAGGCAAACATCCTCTGCTCACTCTACAGTATGAGAGTAGAGCTTTAAGTAGACTTCAGAATGGCAGGGCAAAATCCAAATAAGAGTGAAAAGCTTCCTTTTCAACCAAAGCTTCCAAGGGTGCCGTGCAAAAAAAAAAAAAAAGCATACATTTTTAACACAGGTTCCCAAAGTGGGAATAAAAAAGCTCTAACCATGGCAGCAATGGTACCATTATGATGAGTGCTTAGGGTGATTTAAGGTTATGAGATGTACGAGACTACTTGGATATCATATTTCAAGAAACATAAATGTAGATTACAGAAACAAGTAGCATAGATTTGCAACATTGTAGTTTGTACTGGTTCCCTCATGAGCCTTATCCCAGCTTTATTTTGATCAATACAGTGCACAGTTCTCGGTATTCATTAATGCTGTCCTACCCTGGGGGTAAGTTAAGCATGGCTGCCTTCGAGGACGTAGACTTGATGGTGAGAAGTGGCAGCTGAGACTGCAGGCTTATCCAGGAGTACGGCTGAGCGATAAGAACTGCAGACCTGCGTGCAGCTGTCATTTCCTTTTCTAGGAGTGGAGATAAAAGGTAAAAGGGTCAAACAACACGGTCAAATATCACAAACATGGTGATTGTGATCGTACATATTTCAATCCTGGTGATACTTATATTATCAGAAAACTGTTTTTTTAATCTAGCTATAGATGTGTGTGCGCGTGTTTTTTGTAGATGGATTCTTACTCTCCTCGGCTGTCTCTCCCCAGAGGAGCAGAGGACAGAAGCTGACGAGGATCTGTGTAGTTTGCAGGCTGTCCACACACAGGTAGTGAGTGCCTCTCACCTCTAGACACTGGGGGGGAGACACGGAGACACACACACACACACACACACACACACACACACACACACACACACACACACACACACACACACACACACACACACACACACACACACACACACACACACACACACACACACACACACACACACACACGCTGGCTTTAGATTTCAGTTTGAAGGCAGACAAGGAAAATAACAAGTGTAAGAGGGGAAGAAGAGGAAGCCTTAGGGAGGGATGATGGATAAACTGATAGGAGGGTAGCTTAGTGAAAAATGAGCTGTAGAGAAATACAGAGGAAGAGAGTGAAAGATGGAACGGTAAGGAGAGGAAATAAGAAGATATAGGAAAAAAAGCTGAATAGGATTAAGATTCATTTGAAGTGACATCTGGGTAGGAGAGTCCAAAAAGGTGGATTTAGCGTTGTAAGAAAAAGCGGCAGGTGAGAAAGACAAAGAAGGAGGGGTAAGAAAAGACAGATTAGAGAACAAGAGGAGCGGGGGGGGGGTTCAAATGAGTCTGGAATTACAAACAGACTCAGCAGTCTATACACACAAACACACACGCAAAGTTAGACAAGAACCTGGCTACACACTCATGCACACGGTCACTTCAGAGGTATGTTCATAGGATGCGTGTGACAAAAACACACACTTATGAACAGCACGGGACATAAACTAAAGATTACTAAAGATTACTAAAGATTACTAAAGATTTTAGAGGTAGTGGTTCCATCAAAATAACAGAAATGTCCATTTGCCATGTTTTTTGTGTCATTTTTGCTTGGTTTTATACTGTTCCAAAGATCTACAGGTGGGAGTAGAAAATGCAAACAGGTGTGATCAAAGGGAGAGGAAAAAACTGTAAGCTACCTGCACCTAACGCATATTTTAGACCACGAGGTTTACAAAGAATTTGTTTTTAAAGACTTACACTGAATGGGGGAAAAAAATGATTTACAAAAGATCTCAATAGGGCACCTCTAAGTGATGATGACTGTATACTTTGTACAGGATTAGGTTGTATAGTAGAGGATGGTGTGCATGTCTGTGCGTTTTCTTGTGTATACCTCATGTCTTGCTACAGCAGATGACACATGGAGGGACCCAGTAGTAAGAGAGTGCGCAGATTCATTACAGGTGGGGCTTGTCGCAGTTTTGGGCAAGACGGTACTCTGTACACACAAACACACTGAAATGAATAACAATATATCCTGTGCTGACGGTAAATATTCAGAGCACCGACACATGGAGTCGTACGGGAATGCAGACATTTTTCATTTCTGTATGTTCTGTATGTTATTTCATGAAACATACTCTACCTTAAAATGAAATTTATGGACATGATGTGGATAGATCTGTGGTTTATGGAAGACCAAGAGATTCCTGGGAAGAAAATATGAATACAGGATATTTTTAGCCTGATTTATAAAACCTGGATTTTGTTACTTCTTCAGCTTTTTCCAAATTGTATACATCAAAATGCAGTGCAAAATTAAACATGTGTGTGTTTGTCTCACTGAAAGCAGTTAGCAAAGTCCTCTAGGTCCACCCAGGTCTGCTGCAGGACAGATTTCAGCAGAGGAGCAGAATGTTCCTCAGTAACTTGCTCCTTTGCTGCAGTTTTGGGGTGATCTGGAAGGAATTTTCAAATTCCAGATATAAGCATGACATCGTTTGTGATTAAGAAAGTATTTGTTAACATTATTCTCTGTGTAAAGCAGTAGGATTGCATTAGTCAGTCACTTAGCAATTAGATAAATGTCATCTAAAATTGCTTCTAAAAATGTGCAGCATCCAAACATAGGAAAAATATGTCCTTATAAAGCTGAGTAGCATTTGAGTAGACTGGTTGTTTTCATGCCACACTTAAGAGCTATAGAAAAGCCTGTGAAATCTCCCGTTTCAAAATGCTGCAAGTATCAAAAAGCCTTTCCTCTTGTGACTCATAGCAAGTTATCCTAGACTCAAATCATTATCTGAAACCTGGTGAGCCAAATTGGCCAAACTCCCACATAATGGCACAGTGTAAGCGCACATGCACATCCATACGCCCACTCGCTGACTCCCACGATCTCAATGCATGCAGAGCATAGCCATAGACACAAGCAGGCTGACAAACACTCCGCCCTAAAAGCACGCACGCACACACACACACACACACACACGCACACACACACACACAGATGCTCTGCCCCCAAGCTCCTCTCAAAGCCAGATGTCTGATCAGAGAGCTGAGGCGGCAAGGGCCACTGGCTCTGCTGCTGAGCAATGGTGGTCCGCTAACTCAAACTGCAGGTGTTACTAAGCAACTAAACGGGGGCAGAGAGAAGGCAGGGAATTGGCTATTTGTCATAATGCATGATTTCAGTCCCAATGTCTTTAAAGTGTCTTGGCAAACCAAAGGAGGTATTGAGAGAGAGAGAGAGATGGAGGGCGAGAGAAGCTAATACTTGTGATCACATTTATCGAACTATGTTGCTCGGCTGCTGCTTAAGTCAACCATTTATGAAGACTTTTTTCAAAATCCTACCCTCAAACTGAATTAACAAGCATCTACCCATTCAAGTAGCTTTTTTTTTTTACTGCCCTCATGTGGGGCTGTTCAGTTTTATAATAAAGTCTAGATTATTTTAATTTAGGGCCCAGCATCGCAAAGACACTGGTTTTACCATTTGAGTTGTCATCATTGTCCTTCTTCTTGTCCTCTGCAGTAACCTTAAGGGAAACAGGAAAAAGAGAGAGAGAGAGAGAGAGAGAGAGAGAGAGAGAGAGTGAGAAAGATAGTTAGAGAGAGCGGTTGATAGAGTTACATGGCCAGAGATCCGCCTCCACCCTCTAGTGATTTCATGCCAGCTGTGGCGTTGCACCATTTTCGCGAACACCCCGGGACACAAGACACGGTTTTAATGTGACAAGGGCTGCTCCTCTCCCGCTACAAAACACCACCAGGGAACAGCAGCGCTAATTTACTTCCCCCTGTCAGAGACAAATGAAGACTTATTACATTGTTTATCATGTTGTTCCTCTACTGGACTGATTTCATACTTGTCTGTCCAACACAAGAAAGAAATGAGTCATTATCACATTTTTCAAATATTATGTCAGAGCCAGGCAGGACATTGTGCCTGGAAACAGGACATGGATAATAAAGCTGGTTTCCACCAGATTATTCTGCTCTGAGTAAGAAACATGTCTTTTTTTTCTGTAACTTAGAGCAACCCCAGCAAGACTTTTCTAATGAGTCAGAGTGAGTGTGTGTGTGTGTGTGTGAGTCATCACTTATTTGAATAAGTACCCGGAGACCCAGACAGACGGAAAGAGGCATTGTGACTGGAAGCACACTTGATCTCCTCTCGACGACAATAGCAACACTTTCATTCTAACCAAACATGTAAATGTGTGTGTTGTCGCAAGGGTAGACAAGACTCTGAGTCGAGTACCAAAGCAAGCATGGTAGGTTTCGTCTGCCCACAGAACACCGTTTTATTAGATCTCTCACCTGTGTGTAGTAAGAGGACACTGAGACTGATGGATCTTACAGGCAAGGCTCTTGGGATTTAAGCTAGTACTTTCAGAGGAGAAAGCTTTTTATTTTTTCACAGTGATCAAATCGTAGCCATGGGTTTGGTGGAAGAGGGGGCATTCTTTTAATCCCACACTTCATGGGGCTTTATTTCACACAGCCACAGTTAAGTCTTTGCTCACAAAAAGACTTCCACTATTTTCCCCTGAAGTGAATTTTAATTCATGTAAAAATAACATCTCTTTGTGTTTAGATTTCACAGGCACAATGAAATCCAATGTTTTTTTGGGCTTCTGTGAAATTTTGGAAGCTGTATTTCTCTGTTATTTGTAAATTAAACCATGGAGGTGATATGTTGATTTAGCGATTGTACAGATTTCAGGCATCTTATACAGGAGTTGAAACACCAAAGTTACACAGGAATCTAATTCTTTAACCGCCCTTTTGCTGAGTGAGGAGGCCATTGCAGGTATTAAACACCATGTGACACAACCTTCTACAGTTCTAGGAGCTGCATAGACGGAGAGGTTAGCGCTGTCAGCGTAGGTTCAAAGAATCAGAGGGAGGGGACGAAACAGCAAAAAAATCCTACTCACTTGATGTACACTCCCCGAACACATGACACACCATGTGCTCGCAAAGAGCCGGAACGCACATTAAATAAATAAAAATGTGGCACATGTATGACACACACACCGCAACAGTGCACGTGCACGCGCACATCAAACGACACATCAAATTAGCGTGTCCATACCGCCCTAGCCCGGGCCGCTCTATAACTGGTCACTGTTACACAAGAGGGCGATTAATATGAACTCTATTTTTTCTCTGTATGCTAGGAGTGAAGTGTAATAATGAACCCCCCAGGAGGCACAGACACTGATGGCTCACTATCTAATTGCACTGCTTTTTTCATCATCGCGGGTACACGACCTCTCCCTGTTTGAAACCCACGCGCCCCGCCGAACACCAGAGATCCTCTGCTTCCTGCGCCACTTTCATCTTTTCCTGTCCAACTGTCGCTTTCGGTCCCATTTTTCAGTCCCCCTTCTGTCTTATTCAATACAGTTGTCCCTCTCTCTTTATCCCTCTCTCTCTCTCTTTTTTTTCTAAGCTCGTCTCTGTGTCCCTCTTGCTGCTAAAGCCCACCCTTCACATCCCTACTCATCTCCCCTCTTTTGCTGGTGCTGTCTTTAGTGCAGATGTGCCCCTGGTCAGTGGCGGCATGGCTGGGAGACAACAGAAGTGACTTTGAGACTGGGGGATGGCAGCCTTGTTGTCACTGACACACACAGCTACCCGGGTGAGCCTTCAACTGCATATTTACAAGGGGGGGGCAGGAGAGGAAATAACAAGAGGAGACAACTTTTTTTGGTTGGCTGTTATTATTCTAGTTTTTGAACATGTGGGATTTCGCTGGACTTCAGACACCCTCATAGCTATTAAAAAAAAAGACCTTAGGCAACCAGAATCAACGAAGGTTTTATATTAAACCAGAATCTCTCTTTATTATTAAACACACACATTGTGAATGTTTAAAATGACCTTTGTGCCCGAGCAAACAGAATCTCTATTTACCTCTGTTGCGTCTGTTGTGCCGTTCGGGAGTTAGAGATGCATTCAGCTGCATTAGACTCGAGTACTTCTTTGCGGTCTCTCTCCTCTCTCTCAGCAATAGACACCAGCAGGGATCCATGGGAACGCCTCCTCTGAGCGCTCTGCTTGGCCTCTCTGACACACAAAGACACATTTTCATGCTGCATGTTAGAACGACATACGGCATCACATCATAGTCATGACGTACCCACATCCCATCTCATGGCATTTTGAAGCAACACACTGTATCATCCACAGCATGAGTCATGCATTTCACATTATAGACATGGAATGACACTGGAAGAGCCTTTCTATCGTAGCATTGCTTTGATGTATTTATATATGTGTGTGTGTGTGTGTGTGTGTGTGTGTGTGTATCACATTTTTCATTGCCCTGCTGCAGGGAGAAACATGGGAACAGATTTGGGGACAGTAAGAGGTTCAGGAAAGAGTGTGAGACTTTAGGATGTTTAACCAAAAATAGAAACTTCTTTTTCACTTTCCTTCCTCCACAGTGAGTTCAGAGCACAGGTTAGCTATAGAAACATTAAATCCTCCACCAGCAACAACACAGTTACATGTGCAGAACAATAGAAGAATGCTCATCCTCTTTCATGTCTAAGTTTTAGATCATTTCTGTGTACGCACAGCTCCGGGATCGGGCCAACGCTGCTCTTGACACGGTAGGAGAGAAAAGGGCTGGCAACCTCTATGCACCACTCTGGTTTTGACAAAGGAAGCTCTACAATAAAGAGAAATGGAGAAAAAAAAAAAATCTCACACATCATGCCAACACTACTTTTTTAACACTCTTAAGCTTTTATATGCACTTTTTTGTTTCCCTCAGAGATCAGCTGATGTCAGATAAGCCTGAGCCAGCAGCTATTTTCATTACAGAAATATTGTAGCTATCCTCCACCTTTTTCTCATTTCAGCATGTGGTACTGTGTGCCCTCTGTACTGCAGCTTCTGAATCTCCTGCATTAGCACTCTCCTTTCTAGTCATATTTATTTATGAAATTCACCTACACTCTATCACATAATTTGTGATTTTTTTTTCATTTGTTTGATATCCTCCCCTGCATCCTCCTCCTGGTTTCCCCTTCACCACCTATCCTTCCAAATACTATTTTAATTCCTGCCTCCTTCTCAGTCTCTCACGCACTCCGTGGTTCATCGGAGACCACGATCTCCTTGCGCTGGCGGATGAGTTTCCATCGGGGCACAGGTGGAGGTTTGGGCGGTGCCTCCAGCTGGCATGCTCGGGTTCTGGTCAACAGGACGATATGGCTGTGCAGCAAGGAGAGACCGTACTGACGCAGATACTCTGAGGAATTAGCCTGTGAGCAAGCATGTAGACAAATGCACAAAAATAAATATTCATCTAAACCCACTAATGAACATTTCAAGTGCATTTCCACCAACAAACCCTATATACTATCAAAAAAGGGGGATCTTCCTAAAGTTTCAAACGTGATATAACACCTCTATCAGAGGAGAATTCTGGAAACTGTCCACCAATTAGCCATAGCTTGTGTGTAAATTATAAAACAAGTGAGGCCTGTTGAGGAAACTCATCCAAGTAGAACACACTATGTCCCCAGGTCACAAGTACTATGTGTCATCTTCTTCACCCTCGTGTTGTTATAGGGCTTTTGTACATTTTCACGGTGAGAAAAACTGTATTTTTAAAGAAGCTTAACATATGGATAGTTTTTTACATTAAGGGTAAAGGGTTTATGTGGGATTTAATTACGTGAAATTTTACAAGTCGAAAATGAATTTCTGGAGCGCTGGTGGCTGAGTGGCCCCGTGAGAGGCTCAAATCCGACCTGTGGCTTCTTTCCTGCATGTCATTCCCCACTCTCTCTCTCTCTCCACCCAATTTTCAACCTCCAATAAAGGCCCAAAAATAAATCTTTGAAAAAAATGTTTATTAATATTTTTAATCTATGTGTTTCAACAAAAGTTTTTTTTATCAAGAACAGCTACAGTATGTCATGGATAGACAGGTTTGCAGTTCCTCTCCATTGCTTTGAAATGTGCCTGAAGACAGTCTTGCTGCCACACTTTGCATGCTGATGGACACAGCCACCCACTGGCAGGTTATAGGCCTTCACAATCCCATCATCATGTGTTGTCCTCATTAGCAGTCACTTAATATTGCATAACTCATAATCCATTTGGTTTAACATTTGTTGATTTGCACTTTTGATAACCTATTTATCTTGATTAATTACACACAATGGATGAAGCCAGAGAGGAGGAGGAGGAGAGAGGAAGACTTACCATTTGTCCAAACCCAAAGGAATTATTATGTGGATGGACAGGGTAAAAGCTGGCACACACCACTACCTCAGGGGTACCTGGGAAACACACACATCAAGACTAACGTAATATGCAAACTTCAACAATAAACACACATACATAAACATTTAAAAAAAATCGATATACTTGAACTGATTGACTAACATTGCAGACCTCACCTTGACGCAATAAAGATTAGTTAAAGATGATTAGAAAGATTAGAGATGCCAATGAAAATGAAGCTGATTTAGGTTTTATTTCTTGATATAAAGTGAATCCCTGGTGTTGTGTAAGCACTATTGGCCTCCACAGGTATACATAAGACAACAAGAGAATATATACTGGTTATCTCTGGAGCTCCCTGCCCCCTATAGTGCATTTTAAGAGTATATCATATACGAAGCACATGGGCCAGAAGACATGGAAAATCAATTTGAGGGACCATAGTGAAGAGAGATGGGAGCACCGTTAGACTAATAAAAAGGCTTCACATTAAGAATTGAACAGAAAAGTGGTTCTCTCACTGCATACTGATTTATGCATTTCAATGTATGCATTTCAATGAAAGAATGTGGTGAGCAGGGAAACAGTGACAGGGAAAGATTGTGTGGGTCTCTGGTGTTTTGCATGTAAGTTTCCTTGTGCAGTAATGTTATTATGAAGTATTAGCACTTTGTGTATGCATGTTATTGCATCATGTTAATATACTCACCACTTCAATTATTGTGAATAAATGTGATCATAAGAGAAACTAAGGGGCAGATGGCTATCACAAAGAGCAGGTAAGAGCAAGTAATACTTTATTGATGTGTTTGATTGAGTTCATAATATTAATGTAATACAAATCATACTGAACATTGTTTTAATTTTACACCCGTAAGTTCAGCTTGCTTCTGTTATCCTAAGCAGGGTTTGTGGATGAAAAATGCTAGACTATTCCTAGTGTGATCAGCATTGTTAAGGATAATCCTACCCTTTTGTTTAAGAATTTTAAAACTGAAGAGTTCAACCTTGAAAATAATGTTTAATCTCTGTACTAAAATGACCTGAGACAACTTCAAGCCACACACTCTTTTTCTGACGACATCACTCAATCCTGCTTCCATCACACAACCACACTTGCCTTGGGAGACTCTCCTGCCCTGAGGGAACACCAAATAATTCACCCTGCCACTGCTCCCTCTGCTGGTTTATTTATAGTCCACCGCACACACATTAACGCTCCCTGCGCTCCATTATACATGAGCTTGGGAAAACAGGAAGTGATGCTTGAAACAACAGGAAAGGGGCAGACATGAGGACAGAAATGGATGTATTTTGCAATAGGGCACAAAGTGACCTTAGGCCTGCAGCTTGTCCCAGTGCTAACGTTAATCACAAAGCTATACTATGAATGTTGCAAAGGTGCATGTGTTATGACTGCTATATGAGAATCACATAGAAAGGAATCATTGATAAGTGCGAGTTTCTGTAGGACAATGAAATATTCATTCTCATGCTCCATACTAGTTAAATTATGGATGCAGGGAGGAAAATAGTGACATACACACACTGTGCATTCACATACATACGTACAAAAGGTATAGTGTGGTCCTGCACATACAAGACATAAAACACAACATATGGTTTCCAAACAAGCCGTTGATAAATGAATAAGCTGTAGTGTATGCCAATCATCATGACCTAATGGATGATTGATTTAATTGACTCGCTCAATTAAATGTGCAAGCAGAGTGTGTAATGGAGATGTATGTTCAGTATGCGTTTGTGGCTCGCTGCGTGACTGTGTGTGTTTGTGGGTGAGACTATGACACCATTCAGACCTTCACTTTTCTTTGGCTCATGCAACGACGGACTCCTGCTGTCATTAAGGCTGGATTCTCTCCCTGCAGCTGGATCTGCAGTCTGAGGCTTCACCTCCGGTACACTCTCATCTGGATGTGTAAATATCGGGATGCTGTCTTGTAAGAATTCCCAGGTTTCCCCCACATACATAGACCTGAGTGGAGTAGAAATAATGTTTATATTTACGACAGGCTACAAGAATTAAAGAATTTATCTTGCATTTGAAAAATAATCTTCTTTTCTTTTAAACTCCATTTAGCTGTAGCTCAGTTGGTAGAGTCGTCGCCTCTCAACCAGAAGGTCAAGGGTTCGATCAAGACACTAAACCCTGCATTGCTCCCGCTGCTTCGGTGGTGGACTAGTACTTACTCACTGATGTACGTCACTTTGGATAAAAGCGTCTGCTAAGTGAATTGTAGCATGCAGGTTAGTATCTTTTTTTGAGCTGCTTTTGAAATATCGTTTGTCTACTCATCAGGTGGCGTTAATACGCCTGCTTGAAATGCCTAACTGAGATTGTCTTCCAGATATAAAATCTAATTTTAGTGCAAGTATGAAAGAACTATCTCTGGCCAAAGCTGTTTTTGTAAACTGGTACTGGGATTAATGCTTGAGAGAGTGATCCAGTGACGCTTTCCTGTTTGTTGAGGAATATCTTTTTGTTACATCACTGTTTCCCTTATAAAGTGTTTATCTATCTCATCTGAGTACCATTCTGATTTTTTAGACATAAATAGATGAAATGACCTCATCATATTCAGATACAACACTGCCACTATCAGATAAGGTAAACTGTTTTTGCACTTTCTCTCTTGGACCTGAGTCAGTTGTTGATTCTTTCCGTCACTTTCTTGTTTTCTATTTGTGAAAACAAGCTGATGGAGGTCTTTATATCAGCATTTCTGTCTTACTGGAAAATAGAGCACATTATTCAATCTTCTCTCTCCTTCACCACACACAAGTTTTTACAGAAGGTACTCCAAGCTTATTTGAACAAAACGTTTCATACAAAAAGCCAATTCAAAGTGCTTAAAATTACATATTTAAGATAGGTATTTATAGGTTACGTATTTGAAATAATAAATCAAATAACAGAGAAAACTGAAGCTTCACTGCACAAACATATTCTTTTTATAAAGTTTACCCCAAAGAGAGGGATGAGCAGTCTTAAACTTCAGGCAACCTTACAAAATAGTTCCTGCTATAGTACTTGATAGCTTGTTTGCAGTAGAAGGTGACAGCAGAAGGGAGTTATGATGAATCAGAGCAGAACTTTTTCCTTCTTTTAAATATGTCTCAGTTTTAAGCAGAGTGCTTAAGCCAAGTGGTCAAGCAGTATTTGTTTCTTTCTTCCAAACTATTGCTTTATCATGACTCGTGATCATGGCATGTGACTGCCCATACTTTTGTAGAAAGACACATTTCTCTGCTCGATGTTGCAACACTGTCTGGTATAGAATAGTATCATCAAGAGGAAGTGATATGCAGCCAGCTTGTCAGATTGTGTGAGTTTGTTCAGCGCCCACAGTAGCTGTAGCTCTATAACATGGATTAGAAGCTCTCTGTTATTCTTTTTTCAAAGAGGAGAACTAAAAGAGAGAATGTCAATTCCAATATTAAAGACACAACAAAGGGAGAAATCTATGGGGGAAAATTAGAACAAGAGTTGCAGAAGGCAGAGGTGTAAACATCACTGAACTTACTTTAGAGGGCTGATTTCTGGGATCCAGCCGGTAAGGATGTGGATGAAGGTGAACTCCCCTATCTCACCACGGTGCTCTGATACTACACTAAGAAAAACAACACACACACACACACACACACACACACAAACAATGTTTTAGAAAATATGCTACAACCTAGAGACTAATCATCCATAGTGGCACTGGCACTGTTATCAAAACAGACTTGTTATGAATCATGATGTTAAATTGTACATTATGTACTTGACATTCAAGTGTGTGCACTCATGGCAATGTTTTGCGAGGCAAATTAGAACAAATTACTTTAACTATATGCTACTTTCTCCGTCCCTGTGTCTTTATTTCCCATCACATTCAGGAATGAAGCCAGCAAGAATTACTGACCTCCATGAGCTGGAAATATCATCTTTTCTCAAGAAAATGTGTACTACTGAAGGACTACAGATACTCAAACTGACAACATCTTTACCAGCCTGTTCTTAAACTACTCTCTTTCACATTTCAGTTTCTGCTCTACAGTTACACATTTGTCTTGTGTGTTTTGCAAGTATTATTTAAATCTCTAGAACTGATTTTGAGAAAGGTGTGAGAATGCATGTATTCTGTGAACAAAAATGTTCAGCTGAAACAGTAGCTGCAGCAGTTGTAATTGGTCCTTTTGGGATCCTGTAGCCAACCTGTACAGTCCACAGTGATGATACTCAAGGAAGTGTAATCAACACAGCTGAAACAATAATGCCATACCCCATAACCACGGGAAAAAATAATACTCAGCAAGGAGCCTTCAAATTCCATTTTTTATTCAATAAAAGGACTACCGAACTCCCAGCAGACTTCTAGAAAAAAAGTTAGGTGCCAGTTCAGTACGGAGAACTTTCACTACGACTTATAAATGATTCAACAGGAGAGCGGCTCCTTTGTTTCCTGTCTGGGATGAAACATTTATACCTCGACCTTCTGTAGACACTGCAACAGCCACCTTTACCACACGCCATGTTGCCCCATCACAGACACGCACATCGTCTGTCTGTCACCAAATTCAGCACAGCCCGAGGCAGGTGAAGGTTTGGCTGAGCCAGCGAAAGACACTCTGTGGGGGCCCTGCAGGTGTTTGAGTTTTAAATGGTGTTGTTCACCTCATTAGGTACGTTTATGTGTATTTCATAGATTCCTTCCCACATTGTGTTATTTGTTCTACTTTGTGCTCCTCTGTGATTGTTCCACTGGGGCAAATAAACTCATTTGAATTGAATTCTCCATCAGTGTGTGCTGTTCCAGTGGCTTTCTTAAAGTAAGATACACTGTTATATACCTGGAAGAAGAATAACTCTTCAGATCTCCTACTTTTTGCATGAAGCGTTTGTGCTCTGAGAAGAAAAGCGCTGCACGTCCGTCTCTATGACAACAGTTTGTTGGCAACGGCCGTTGTATGATCGACACAGCTCCATTCCTTTGTACTGCAAGTTTGATATTTGAGATCATTTTTTACCCTAGCAGACACGGAGCAAAGAGGATTTGGGTAGAAGATACAATCTGTAGGAGGCTTAAATACAGGGAATATCTTACATTTGGAAAAGAGCGCCGGTGACGTCAACAGCGCCTTTCTGAAAAGTTGAAAGATTTTCAACTTGATCGTTCCAAGCGGCCGCACAAAACTGGCAGAGCGCTTGTAAAAAAGACGCTTGGCCCTGCGTTTTTCATCCAGGTGGCTGAAGCTCTCTACCTACTGAAAACAACTGAAAAAAGACGGCACTGAGAAAAAAAAAAATCGCTAGGTGGACACAGGGCCTTAAACAACTCTATTTCAACACCTTGGGGGATAGCTGAGATGCTTACAAAGATTCTGTTGGAAGCTACAGTAACTCACTTTGTGTTGGCCACTTTAATGAGAGCCTTAGCCAACAACATAGGCCAAAGCTCTGACTGACAGGTGGAGGCAGGGAGAAGCAACTTGTTTTCTCCATCAAATGGCAAGGAATCATCTACTGTGATCTTCCGCCAACAACCCTGAAAGCAAAGGAGAAAGATTCAGTATGTGGAGATGATAGTGTATAACAATAAAAAAAAAGGCCGTAAGAATCAAAACACCAAAGAAATTAGACTGTCCTAAATCTGTTTAGATTTCATACAGACTGTAGCAATCCATGTCATTCGGAAAAAGCAAGGTTTGACCTTTAGTTGGAAACACATTTATATGCTTTCTTGGCAAAAGTCAGATGAAAATCAATACCAATCTCATGGCTCTGGGCTACAGCCAGCAGCAGATATCAACAAGCTAAGGAGGCCTTGTCCCGGCAGCAGAAGCCAGGCTCTCAAGTAGACGGAACTCCCCCAACCTTCAGCCAGCTGATCTAGCACTACAACCACCCGTTGTCCCTGACGCCCAGCCACCACCATCGGACTTTGTCGTCCCCACATCCACCGCCATCCTCATTCATGCACGGCCTGCTCCGACCTCCACCTCAGCGGCAAGGAAGTGTGGACAAGAGGAACGCGAGGAATACAAAGGAGAAATCTTTCCTGCATATTATCCCATATGCTCTTTTGTGAAGCGTCTCGAGATAACACTTGTTACGAAATGGCGCTATACAAATAATGATTGATTGATGATATCTTAGCTAAGGACTGGAAACAGTAGGAAACAGCTAGCCTTTCGCATTAGTTTGATTCTTGAGAAAAACAGAGAGGAAAAAAACAACTAATTGACCAGGGGTTTGCTGCCAGGATTTCTTTTATTTTGTTTCCTATATCAAGCCGAGCAAAATTCAAACTTTCCTTTAACGTGTAGTATCTTCAATACACCACAAACACAAAATATGGTACATTTTCATTAAAAGTTATACTGTTCACTGCTGTGCAATTACTACTAAGACATAGCTATAAGCCCAGAGAGAGATCCCCCCCCCCCTAAAAATCCAATACATACAGTAGCTCAACACATCTTCTTCAACCTATTGTCTTTATAATGCAACACGTCTCATAACATGAGCTGCCTTATTCATGCGTCTTAGCATCCTGATTGGTGTCAGAGCCTGTTACATGCTGTCTGTGTGGTGGTCTGTCTATGGCCGTCTGGGGGAGTTTCACACTGCTTGTAAGAAAAAGCAACACAAGCAGGTGATAATCTGACTGACTGCGCACAGCTGTGCCTCTCCTTATCTATCAGAGAAGTGTTCAAAAGCAGTGCAAGCCTCCGAAGAGTCCTGGTAAACACACTGACACACTCCTTTTCTTGGATGTTCTTCTACTTTCTTGTCACAGCGTCCCTCTGAGGAGAAGCTCTGTGTGCGCGCAGACGGGGTAAAATAGAGTGCAAAAGGGCAAGTTAGGAAAGGAAACAGAAGAAAGGAAGAAAAGGGAGAGAGACAGAGTAAAAGGATGAGAAAGACAGGGTGGTATGAGAGGTATGTGAATGAGAGACTAATGGGGATCATATGAGCAGGGGGAAAAACAGGTAGCCTATGAGCAACAAGAGGCGAGGAAATTACAAGGAGGGGGTTGGGTGCTTAATGCCATCTCAACAACCATCTGTTAGCGTGCTATGGTTGGCACGGGGACTGCTGCCTACAACCGTGTCATGCCAGTTTGTCAAGGCGAGAGTCACAGTGTTACAGAACACCATCAGTTTTTGCTCCGTCTTTTCTTCTCTCTCTCTTACTGACCCACATTCTTGTGCCCGCAGAAGAAGAAGTCCCCTTTTCTGAGATGAACTGACAGTATGATAGAGCTCCCACTAATTAGAGATCTGTGGCAAGGAACGAGCACACGGAGACTTTGTAGACAAGCAACTTTAAAATGTCCAATCTACGGCATTACATCATTTTGAGGTAAAACTCCTTGAAATGTTTACAAATAATGAACATGACTGGCACAACAGTGCATAAAGCCCTCTCAGGGTGGTGCCTGCTCTCATGGTCTCATTGGATGTAGATACACAACTTGAGCCTAGCTCTCTGAGAAGCAGCTGACTCCTGTTAAGCCCTATCTATTCATCAGGCAGTGTATGAAGCCCAGCCACTTTTGGCAACAGCAGTGAGACTGATTGATTTGAGCTCTGAGTGGATAAGACTTTTTCATCCCTTCCCCCCTCCAAGCATCAGTCCTTCCTCGTTCCCCTCTCATCTTCTGCATCCTATGGGGTCTGATGCGGAATACACTGCAATCGTATGCCATGCATTGCATGTTTTTTTACATCTGCAGGGATGTGTGCTTTATTCGTCTGTTTGGGTAGATTTGTGTGCACCGTGCTCACCATCCAGTAGAGTTTGACAGCGTACTTCCCATAGTTGTTGTAGTGTGGCACATGACCTTTCACGACCTTACACAGTGAGTAGATGTGCTCCCAAGGTCTCCAACCATCCCCATCTGTAGATGTGCTGCCGTGCAGAGTCCAAACAATATAGATCTCACTGATGATCCACCTCATCAGCTTGACAGAAGATTGAGGAGAGAAGGGAAGGAAAAAGTAATCACAGATCTAACAACTCAAAGCCAATCTTTAAATCTATCTGCTGAATCACTAACTATCAGATCTATCATTCACAGAATCAATAGGGCATTGTGTTACCCAGGTCTAATTCATTTCTGTCAGTCAAACGTCAACATGTCGGACGTCTAAATTACGGCATCCAAGGGCTGATCGATGCTGGTTAGCAGAAAGTCAGTGCAGTCTTCAATTGAAAAGTAGAGAAAACAGTTCAAAGCTAACCTCACTGCAGGTCAGGTGATCATTGGAGGAGATCAGGTCGAAGGATGTTTGATTTTCAACAACTGTGAGACCCTGAAATGAAACACAGATTGGAACATTCGCCCCTTTTACAGTCAGGATTAACTTTCTGCACTCACACAAATCCCTAAACTTCAGAATATCAGAGTAACATGTCTCCTGTTCAAAATAGACACAAGTATATGACCTACTTAGTGCTTTTTATTATATCCTGAGCCTATACTGGTGTAACCTCGCCATGATACCCTCAACATTGTGTCTGTGATGAATACTTCAGTACCGAGTTAATAGACTCAGCCATGTAACTAATTAAAAATGAATTACTGGGTCAGGGGATAGTGAGAATGATCAATTATGTTAGTCACAGGGTTTTTTTTAATTGTCACAGCCTCTCTAAGTGTGAACCAATCTTTGAAATATTCTCCCAATCAGTCTGTAACATCGACATCGATTTATTTTGAAACCGCAAACTTATGTGTGCTGACTAAGAGAGAGTTTCACAGTAGAGCTGTAACCTGCATCTGCACGGCTGATGGCTTTTGTGATTAGAGTTCCTCTTGTATGAAATTAATGAAATGCTTTCGACATCTTGAGGGAAAATGCGAGGACTAATTCAGAAAGCAGGAAGCTTGCAGTAATTGCCCAATTCTGCACCAAGAGAGGGTAACTGAAAAGTGGAGTGATGCAATTAAAACTTTGTTGGAGGCGAATAGAGAGCATATTTCCTTAACTACATTTCACACTGTGTGGCAGAGAAATGCACTTTGTTAATACATGTAATGCTGCAACCAACAGCTACTTATCAATTTTTTTTATAAGGAATTGAATTATTTAGCCTTTGCAAGCCCAAGAAGCCTATTTGACCTTAAGTCTAAAATAAAAATTGTAAAGGCAACACAACCATGAGAGGCTACAGGGAGCTAATAAGGGCTTGAAATTCATTATGTGTTGTAGTTCCATGACCTTACATGAATTTAATATAAAATGATATAGGAGGGAGCGGAAAGAACAGTTAAGGAGAACGTGAAACCAAAAGCTTTAGAATAAATTGAAACAAAATGTGTGATCTATGAAGACTTTTGTATACTCACACAGCGCATGTGCTGACTCTTTGACATGTATTTGAACAGCAACATAGTGAGCAATAGTCATTTATGTTTAATACACATGGACCAATGTACTCATTTGGGCCAGTAGAAGTTTGACAACTTCTTCCCCTAAGACGATTTGCCATTAATATAGAGGCATGAAGGTTACCTTGTTGACAACCAACTCTGTAGCACGCTTCCAGGTGTGCACTTTCAAAGATAAAGGCAAGGAAATTTTTCCCTCGGGGTCTTCAAAAAATGGCTGAAGACAAAAGCATACAAACATGAAATACAGACACAATGTATGAAAAATCATAACATTTCCAATACACTGCACCATTCGGTATATTTGCTGTTCACAAATAAAAGAATGATGTTTCAATTCAAATTGTTGAAATCTCCAGATTTACCGCATTTGGACTCTTGCTTGTCTTTCCATCTTCAGGTCCTTTGCTTGAGTCCCATTTCGCTTTGTTGACTTCTGCGTCACTCCACTCTGGCCATATGGGGAATCTGCATCCTCCTAGGCTCTCAGAGGAAGTGGCTGCTAGGGAAACCGCACTGCAATGATGACACATGAAGCTATTCACTACATTTGTTCTTGGCTTCCCTTTTGTAATATATTCAGAGTCAACATTAGTTATCTCAGTGCCACCCTGGAGTAAACTGATCAAATTCCTGTTTTCTCTATTATAGCTTGAACGATAGATAGATAGATAGATAGATAGATAGATTTTCTAGCGTAGCTCTTCTGATGTCGTTTTTGCTAATGTCAAAGCCAATCGGCTGACCTTAATTATTGCTGATAACCAAACTCACTCTGTCTGTCGCTCGGATAAAGACACTTTGCTGGAGGTGGGCTCCTTTTTCTTTGGTGTTGCCTTGGACATTGTACTGGCGCAGCGTAATAATTTAACAAGATAAGTTACCCTTCCCCGGGTAGCGTTTGTTTGGGTTTGGCCAGCGCTCTTAAGAGTTTGCTGGTTGCTAGGCGACGTGGCTTCACATGGGCGGGGTCTGAACGACACTAGTTGCCAGACAGAGGAAGGATTTCCTTTCCAAACCTCTATTTACAGAAAGTTCCTTAACCTGGGGAAGTACTTACCTTAAAATAAACATGTGGTCTTAATGTGCAGAAGCGCTAAGAAATAAAATCAGACACATTATCTCGTTATTGTGAGGTATTTTCTCATAATAATGAGATTGCGTTCCGTAGCTGATGTGTGCAGCTGAAAATGTAGCCTACACCTGCTAGAATAAAAAATACAAAACCTCATACTGTGCTGAAGGGTTGTACCTTTAAAGACTTTCACAGATTGTATTTGCCTGATGGTATTGAATTGCATTGTATTGCCCCACAAGTCACCATGTGATACACACATGGTTCATAGAACAGCGTCCAGAGAAACATTGAGGGGGAAAAAAAACAGTGCTGTCAAGGCTCCAACTTCACTGACATGCATGCTTAAATGCTTTACTGTTGTGGATTGCATTGTTGGTAAGTGAATGAAAGTGGCTGTAATGTTTGCACACAATAGTGCATTCCTGATCTGCTAACAGTTAGGTGTGTGGAGGAGCACAAGCTGTACACAAGCTGTAGTGTCGTGAGCACAGTGTCTGATGACTATCACACACTGTTTCTTGAGTGGAGTCACATGGTTCTCTCCCTCACGTGCACGCATCAGCACACACGCGCACACACGAGGCTTTCTCCATAGTCCTTTGTGGCACAAGGTTTTTTTTTTTTTTTTTTTGCAAGGAAGATGGGTAGATTCAGTACATATGGTGAATCTGCTCAGGCATGGGTAGATTATTGCTGTGTAAAATCCAGACAGCTGAGATTGTGGAAGTGAAACCGCAAAATGTGTGTTTCATTTTGTTGTGTCAAAATTAAGTTGCTACTTCATCATTCTTGCAGTGTAGGCCTAATAAGTGCACAGTCCAACTCTAACCAACTCAAGGGGCTTGAGATGCAAGATATTGCAGTTGAAACAATTAACATTATCTGATTCAGCACATTTGCTTATGAACTATAACATCAAAATGAGTTAATGAAAGTTTTATTCTGTGATTAAGCGAAAAAGTTTGATTTATGTTAATCAAACTCTTTATGTTAGCATATCACATGCAATAAAAACCTTTAATTTGACAGTATAATAACTTGTAGGCCTATAATAATAACTAGTAGACACAAACAATCTGTTCAAATGTTTATTCTATTTTGGTCTTGTAAATTTAAAGTATTTTCACATGTAAACTTCCATGTTTTAAAAAATCCTTCATATTATATCTTAACACTTAAACAGGTTACCTTTCTTATGTACAAGAGAGTATAGTCCTCTTCAGGATTCTGTTTTCATGACATCCCACAGGTTGTATAATGTATGCCCCAACACATTATTTAAAAAAAAAAAAAAAACATTCTGTAAATAAGATCTACATTTTCATACTGGTGCAATGACAATTCAACAACGTTTTCTCAGTGTGTCACACATTTATCATGAATACAGTGCTTCTTCCTGAAATACTGTGGTCTTTGTCAGTGTGCTTGTTAATGTTCAAGAAAACAACAAAAGTGGTCCCCTCTTATCAACATTACAAAATAACTATTGGCATGACGGCACAGCATTTGAGAGAATATGGCAAAAAGACAGAAACAATAACACTTTGATAATGCATAACTTATTTGCTTTTTACACAGTAGTCTTGAGAACACCTGGGACACATGTTTGCTTTCAAAATGTGTTGTTTAAGGGGAGTTATCTTTATTAAGTAAAGTCATATTTTAGAAACACTGAACAAGAACGTGTATTGTTTTACAGGTAAAGGTAACTGAAAGGATACTGAAAAAGAATTGACCAAAGTGAACAAGGCTACGGGTAGTTTTCTACTTTTTGTTTTACAATTTTCTACTTAGTTTACACCCCTTCTTAAGAATGGTACAGTCCAGGACTTGAGAGGGTGTCAGGGCAATAGAAGAGTGACAGGGTTCAAGTATGGAGGGCTGGGTTGGGGATCTTAGCAGTAGGCTAATACATAAATATGAGGTGATTAAAATAAAAGACATTAATAAAGATTTTTAGGATTATGAAGTGAGAGACAAGGAGAGAAAAGGCCAAGGGAAGTGGCAGAAAACATCAAGATAAAAGAGTGGTTTTATTCTGGCCTACATGGAAAGCTTCAACAAGAAACTTGGATGTGCTGGTCAAATGGGCGTCACTGCAAAAGAGGAGAAGATCCTGGAGCTTTGAAGACCCAAAAGACTTCCAGTAGACTTGCAGTAGAGTGCTGAGAGCCACAGGCTGGATGAACGGGTTGGATCCTGCCAAAGGGAGGCGGATTACAAGTGTGAACGGACTCCAGTGTTAGCAGCAGCCTGACTTGCTCTCAGCAGCCACAGTCTCCTGGTCCAGTTTGATCCGGTCTCCATTGCTCTCCTCGTATGGTAATCCTTTGTCATTAGCCAAGATATTCTCTACCAGGAAACACGCTGCCTCGTCCACGTTGATGTTTTCCTGCGAAAAGATCATGTGGAATAATTAGACATTTATTCAAAAGAGGAAATACTGTACATTTGTAAGATAGACGCCTGTATTTTCCGTTCATGCTTCTTTTTTAGGATGACTAAAAAGAAGTCCACTAAACCCCCATTAAATGAAGCAGCCCTTGAAAGCAACAGCTGGGACTGTACTGACTCTCTCAAGCTGTCCTATCAAATGAAGACAAAAAGCCCAAAAATGAATTAAAATAAAGGCAACAGCTGTGAGACAGCTAGGGTTTCAGGGACACAATCCAAGGCCAGTGGAGACAAGGTAAACAAAAAACGTTGCTATTGTCCTTCACAATGCAGCCCAAAGCTGTCTGCACATGGTTTGAAGACGTAATGATGAATATTAATGACTCTTCACCAGTACTGAAGTTTAAACACAGGATAAATGTTTTAAGTCATTTAAAACAATGTTGTTATATGCCAAATACAAGCACTTGGTTGCAAATGTAAGGACATGCATTGCAAATTGAAGTCCAACAATTGCTATTAAAAAAAAAGAAGTAAAACCTCAGACAAGAAGCAATAAGAGGGATTGGAAGAACATTTGGATATATTATGAGCAGGGGTGTGTCCAAGGAGTGGCACCATCTGATTGGCGACTCCAGGTACCACCCAAAAGTCCTAAACTACTGGTACTGTAGGTTTTCTGAAAGGCCAGCGATAGCCTGCATTCATGTGGTGTCGGATGCATCGAAAAAACAAGTTTCCGAGTTTGAAAATTCACGTGACCACCCACTCAAGCCGGAACAACAACTCAGAAACTTGGGGAGAGAACTTGGTACCAGACTTGACGACTTGGCGTCATATTCGTCATCACATGCTGGGCAAAAGATGTTTTGTTAATGTTAAGATGTTTTGTTATTAATTCACCTATTGCCTCGACTTTTTCCTCAAACATAGCTTGTTACAATGACATTCTACACAACATTTCAACTCTCCGAACTGAAAGCACGTGAAAACACTGAAGCCTGGAAGAACAACTTCCAAACTCGGAAACTGGGACCACCCAAGGAGCACATGAATGCAGCAGTAGACTTTAAGTTTCAACCAATCTGTGGGGGCTGTAGTATCTTTTTCTTTTTTGGAGGAGCCTTTATGTTTATGTTATTTTTTAATCAAAAACATGTCTCATATGTATGATACCTTAAAAGATCCTTCAGAAGGACGGAAGTATTTTAGATTTTGTGGAAAATGTTCTCTCAAGAGAATATTCTCTGTTGCCTTTAGTATGTATTTATTTATGAATCTGTCTGCTAAATATAACTATTCATGTAAGATCTTATATTTCATATTTGAGCTCTTTTGCTTAATTTATGGTTTTCTGTACGTCACTCTGTTTATGTATGTCTTCTACATACATGCTGCTCCAACCCATCGTCCCAGGGTTTAATCCAGTTCTGTTAGATGATTTGAATTGAATTGCCCAATTTGTGCCAACCGAGTCAACACACACAAGTCCCTTATTATGGGGACAGTCTAGATAACTTTTTGACTCAATTTTTGGTTTACTCCTGATTTGTCAATGAGTAGAAGATGTGCACCAATCTGGACCTCCTAATTAGAGGAACTAGGTCAATGATAACGTCATTGCAGAGGTTGATTAAGGCAAGAGAAAATTAACAGCCACTCAAAATCTGACCCAGTAACCTGCCATAGCCCCAACCTCAACAAAACTGTTACAGAAATACTTCGTGATTGTGTCTTGTTCTCTTATAATAACGCCTTTTTGTAAAGGGAAGAAGACTGTCATAGAGAAACTGAAAGAAAGTTTGGTACTCTTTTGTTTACAGCATTCCTTTCACATGTCGTTTCAGGTTTAGTCACATGATAGACACACAGGAAGGACACCACTTCACTGAAAGAATGGGAATGAAAATAAATACTTTCCATACACACTCACAGACGTCACATGACACAGCACGTGACACAGCTGCAGGACTTAGGGTTATCCCACAATTTCAATGAGTTAATACAATAACTCAAAGCATTCTTCCACACGAGAGAAAAAAAGATGGTGATGGTTGAATGGGTAGAAGGGTTTGTTTTTAAGTATCCTCTTGACTTATTATTAAAGTTAGCAAAAGACGGGAATGTGGTGGGAAACAGAGGCAAGAGAACCATGGGATCCACTAAAAAATAAACTGAAAGTGATTCAAACACAACTACATGTTTCAAAAGGAAGTCATGTTATGCAGACTGGCACATGCAGACAATCAGAAGCATTTGGTTTGACTATGTGCTTGTATAAAGTTACCGATTTATCATTTTAATATTTCTTTAACAGTTTGCAGTTAGTCCGATAAAACTATCTTTATGAAAGAGACTACCAGCTGCGTAAAGTGAGCAGGTAGATTAACCACAGGACTTTTTTTTTTTCCAGGCGTAGTTATGACATGGAAGACATT